CCGCTCTTCTACAGCCTCTGCCTCTGGACTGCTCTCTGCCACAGCTTCTTCCTGCTCACTAAACCCTGTTGCCTCTTCAGCTTCCGACACTTCCTCATCACAGTCTTCTCCCTCTGACCACGCATTGCCATCCCACCACCAATCCCCTGGCTCTAAGCCTTCTTCCCTTGGGGGTTCCTCAGCTGGTTCCTCCCACCACTTCTCTGTATCCAGCCAGTCCATGACAAGTAAGCACATTTAAACATGACTGGCTGCATGTGTGTAAGGACTTTCACAGACCTTGCCATGTTTAAATCCATCCTTTGTCTATGCAAAAAAGAAAAGAAAAGCGAGGACCACAGACTTTGCTCTTTGTGGTGCTTCTAACTGTGCTTCCTTCCCTGATCCTGCCAGTCTTTTCCCTGGGTTTCTGCCCCTGCCAGTTCTGCTTCCTGCTCCTCTCTGCACACCCGTCTTTCACCTCTCCAAGCTGCCTCCTGGGAGCTGACCTCGGCCTGCCTCTCTGACCGATGAGTTTGCCTTGCAGTTCAGATTCATGTCTTGCCTGGACCTGCAGGGTAAAAGGGCACAGGATGCCTCTGGTGCATGACAGCAGTTGCCCTACTGAATTCTCAGCATACACAATATGCTTTAATACAAGAAGCTGCCTTTTGTCTAATTAAATCAGACCACTCTAATCATCCAAACCTGTGATTGCCAAACACTGCAGGGCTGATAAGAGAGACAGAAAGAGATAACAGAGTGAGGAATGAAGGAGTGTTTTTATTTTTAATATAGACAAGAGCAACACAGTGATTAATGGCTGAGCGTCTGGATCACGAACACCCTAGGCAGACCTCCTGCTTTGTCTTGGCAACACGGCTGTGTCACCAGCCTCTGATTAACCACCACTGTTGCTCTTGTTGCACATTTTTGTTTACTCCTTTGTGCTGCATCTTCCCCAGGCCTCCATCCTATAAAACTCAGGCAATGGCAGGAACAAGTGGCGGCAGTTGAGAGCCGCCATTTTGATGTCCCATAAACTCCAGCCAACATGGCTAATTGTCAGGACTGATGGAAGCTGGAGTCCAGCAACTTCTGAAGGACACAGGTTCCCCATCTCTGATCCAGGTTGTCAGTTACAGTTTGCACATCTTTACTTGGGACATAAACATTGTTCTACAGTACTCAGCACACATTAAAGACACAAGGGGTTTAAAAAAATTATTTCCTCTACTGTGCACATAGCTGTGCACCATTTTCAGTTGGTGTCCTCTTTTCCTCCCCCAAAATCTCTTTAACACACACACACAGTGTTCCGAGATTACACCACAGTTTGGTGTGACTAAGAAGAACCTAGATGGGGCAGGTTTAGGTTTGAATGTTTGCCAGGGAAGAGGTTTAGCCTCAAGTGCACTTCCATAAGAATGAATGGTTGCCATTTTCCTATGAAGAAAGCAAAACTGCTGTATTTTGGAGAATATCTCTTGGGCCGGTTGGTGGGAGAGGTCATAGTGTCTCACTGGCCAGCTTCCACCAGCCTTAAGTTGGGCATCGCCTGGTCAATAAAGTGTTGACCTGCCATTGTCTGCCTGCTTCAATGGGTGCTTGGAGCTCTGAGTTTCACTCAACAAGTGGACCGATCTACTGCACCAGGCAAAAAAGAAAAGAAATAAACCTTCTTGCATCTAGCAAGCTGGAACATCAGGACCATGTGTCCTGGCTCGTCCACCAAACTTCTGGTCAACGGCTCATGGAATACGACCAGTGCTTTTTATCTGGGGGGACGCAGGGGTATGCATACCTCTAAACATTTTGTGAATCTAAGTTTGGTCTCATTCAGAGACAGTATTTCAATATGAGTAGGAAAATGAGATTACCCCTAAACATTTTTTTTAAAGAAAAAAAAAGCACTGAATACGACCATCATTGACGTGAACTGAAAATGCTCAACACGGATGTTGCCAGTCTACAGGAGACAGGCTCGCTTTGAATGGCAGCCTCCAAGAAAAGAACTATACCTTTTTCTGGCGAGGAGAGCATCCAGAAGGACCACATAATCAAGGCGTAGGCTTCACAGTGAGGAACTCCTTTCTGTCTGTGACAGAACTGCTAACTGAGAGCTCAGAACACTTGCTTTCCCTCTGCATCTCAACCACCTCCAATCTGGTTGACATCTTGAGGACCTCCAGTCTGGTTAACATCTTGATGATCCCACAAACCAATGACCAGTTCCTCATATCTGCTGTAGACAAACTACAAACCAATCTCCTATGTTTATTTCTACCCCAATCCCTTCCTTGGTTCAGAATTTTAACTGTGGGACCCATTAGAAAACAAATATATATTATTTTCTTGATTTTTCTTTGTTTCACTTCCACCAAAGGTAGGAATGATCCAATTTCCAGCAAAGATTGTTTGTAACAAAAATCAGTGTCCAATAATGGATTTTTTTTCATAGATTTAAATACACTGAAAAAGAGGCTTCAGGTATTAAAAATAAAACTCCATTCATCTTATTGTGAATTCCAATGCCTTTACATCTTTCAAATCCTACAAAATTTAATAATACTTTGTAAGTAATCCTTTAATTCTAATAATTTGCCAGTCATTTTTCAACAGAGATTAATGCCCATCATTTGTTGAAGTAAGCTTTATCTTAAATGGAAATATTGGGGGGGGGGGGGAAGGGAGCGAACTTTCCCATTTAAAATGCACACTTCTGAATAAATAAGAGTTGTTCAAATTCAGAAAAACTGCAGCATTGCTCTGCTGGGATTGTACCATTTTAGAATGCAAATGGGTTATCACATGATTCAATGCATGCGTGCACACACAGCCTTAAAAAGCCCTATGCATGAGAAAGGAAAGTGGTATGTCAAGGAGAAGTCTAGGAGGAAATAACCATCCTACCTGAGAGAGGGACGCGGGTAGCACTGTGGTCTAAACCACTGAGCCTATTGGGCTTGCCGACTGGAAGGGTGAGCTCCCGTTGCTCTGTTTCTGCTCCTGCCAACCTAGCTGTTCGAAAGCACACCAGTGCAAGTAGATAAATAGGTACCACTGTAAGGCAAACGGCATTTCCATGCACTCTGGCACTCATCCCGGTGTCCTGTTGCGCCAGTAATGGTTTAGTCATGCTGGCCACATGACCCGGAAAGCTGTCTGTGGACAAACGCTGGCTCCCTCAGCCTGAAAGCAAGATGAGCGCCACACCCCATAGCCGTCTTTGAGTGGACTTAACCATCCAGCGGTCCTTTACCTTTACCTACCTTTCTACCTGAGAGGTTCTCACAGTGGCAACCAGATGCCTGTGGGAAACCAGCAAGCAGGACCTGAGCACAAGACCACAAGTGCTCACCACTGCCTCCTGTGGGAGCAAGTTCCATAGATCCACAGTGCGCAGCGTGAAAAAGGTACTTGGCATCTTCCTAGGGACAGCACGACTCCAAAACAGCCTATCCTGCTCATTGCCTGTTGAAGGTGAGGCTCTCAGAGGACCTTATTAAATGATTATAGTCATTGAGCAGGTTTAGCTGGACGTTCCTTCAGGCTGGAACCCTTAGGTAGGAGGAAGCTTTATACTTTGGGGAAGTCAACTAGGTGTTGCAGCCAGTGGTGGGTGGAGCCAGAACCCTAAGTGGGAGGAGTTTGAAACAAAGCATGGATCTCCCTCTCACTCCATTAACACAAGTCTGAACTGATTGCTCACAGAGGGCCACATGCAATGGGGCTAAGGGCCAAATGCAGCTGGGAATAAGAACCATTAGACTCAACAGATATACAGTGGTACCTCGGGTTAAGAATTTAATTCGTTCTGGAGGTCCGTTCTTAACCTGAAACTGTTCTTAACCTGAGGTACCACTTCAGCTAATGGGGCCTCCACTGCTGCCATGCGATTTCTGTTCTCATCCTGAAGCAAAGTTCTTAACCCGAGGTACTATTTCTGGGTTAGTGGAGTCTTTAACCTAAAGCGTCTGTAACCTGAAGCGTCTGTAACCCGAGTTACCACTGTACATGCAACGGAATGTGCTTTTATACACCCAGTTCCCAACCCCTGTAAGGCCATATAATTATGAATATGCTTGATTTCTGGTAGATAAATACTGTAGCAACGTGCAAGGCACTTTACTGCTTTGCCTCAGGTGGTGAAACGGGCAAGGCTGGTGCTACAGTAAGCTGAGGCTTCTAGGTTCCAGCTATCTTGCAAGATCTCGCCAGAGCCTGGGAGCCACAACGCCATTTCTCTGGCAGCGAGGTGCACCCGTGGAGATGCCCCTCAGATTCCGCCACCTGAGTCAGCTGCCTCAATCTGCTACATGATAGGCTGGCCCTGTGTAGCCCAAGCAGGTTTCCTGAAACCAGTACTTCAAAGCTGTACAAAATCCCAGGGCCAAGGTAAAAGGTAAAGGGACCCTGACTGTTAGGTCCAGTCACGGCTGACACTGGGGTTGTGGCGCTCATCTCGCTTTACTGGCCGAGGGAGCTGGCGTACAGCTTCCGGGTCATGTGGCCAGCATGACTAAGCCGCTTCTGGCGAACCAGAGAAGCGCACGGAAACGCCGTTTACCTTCCCGCCGGAGCGGTACCTATTTATCTACTTTGCACTTTGACGTGCTTTCGAACTGCTAGGTTGGCAGGAAGGGCCAAGGTACCTGTTCATAAATTTCAGGAGTAAGTGGCAACCTGAGGATTTGCACTGCACTGCTTCCTTCTCTCTCTCTCCAGGGGTGCCAACTTGAATAAAATATTTTTTTTGCGGGGGGGGGGGGAACCGGGTAAGCCCCACCAAGCATAATCGATCACATGACGTGGCGCGCACACACTATTTTGAATGGCAATGCCCATCAAATATTTTATTGCTGGGGAGTGGGCTTCTCGCGCGCGCGCGCGCCTGAGCTCGTTTCTCCCGTCTGCACGACGCTACTCAGCAAAGGAAGACAGAACACCCCCCACGCTGCGCCTTCCTAGGCGGGTTGGACGAGGGGAGCTGGAGAGTGTGAGTGCGCGCGCGTGTGTGTGGAGAGAGCGGTACGTGGTCAGGGGGCGGCGGCTCTGAGGGGGGATTAGCTTGGCTTTGCGAGGGACCAAGCAGCGCCGGGGTTGCCGCCGCGCGCCCCGCGCGCCTCCCCTCCCCTCCTTCCCACTGGTTGCGCGACCTGCCAATCCGCGCCGTAATCCTGCAGGAATTTCCCTCAGGCTTCAACTAGGAGTCGCGCTCGCACAGCCCTGGGAAAGGAAAGCCGAGCGGAAAAACGGCGAGTTAAGAGCGCGGCTTGCGACGACGACCGCCGAGGCTCCGCTCCCTTCTCCCCGCGGACAACTCCGGCGCCTCGGCCAAACTTTGTGGCGTTGCCTGCGCGCCTCTCTTGGCCGGACCCGGCGCGAGGGAGAGAGGGACGGGCTTGAGTCCGACGAAGCGGCGAGGAGGCGAAGGCGAGCGAGCGGCGGCGGCGGCAGCGGCAGTCCGGAGCAGCCCACCAGCCCAGCCCCTTCCCCTTCTGCTCCCCACAAGCCAGCCAACTCCTCCCTGAAGCGAGCGAGGAGGAGCGGCGTCTGCAGGAGCAGAGACCAGGGAAGAGGGGGAGCCCGCGAGCCCGTCGCTTCTGCCGGCCAGGAGGGGGGAGGAGGAGGAGGATTACTCGCAGGACCTGCCTGGGAATCTCTCCTCTCCAGCGCGCGCTCTCCTTTTTTTGTGGAGGGGGGGACGGGTCCTTCGAAGCCACCGCTTGCAACCCCGGGAATAATGTGGAACGTGTGGATACTGCTTGCTTTCGCCTCGGCGGCCTGCGTCTCGGCAGAGACGGTACGTCCCTTCTTCTTCTTGCAAAAAGATTTGTTTTTGAGGAGTGGGCGGGAGGGAGAAGCGGAGCAACCGTGGGACGAATCGATACTGGCAGCTTCCTTTCTCTCCCCCCCCCCTTCGCTTTCAGTCGCATTCCATGCAGCCGGCCACCCCGCAAGCCTTGCAGCCAACCCCGATGCCCCCTAACTGCTGCATTTTGGTCAACTGGTGCGGATAAACAACCCCCCCTCCCGCTTCGTGCAGGCAGCGAAGCCCCGCTGGCTATTTCAGCGCCTGCAGAAACTTCGCTTCACTTTCCCCGCTGCGCTCGAGGATTCTTTTTCCTGCCCTCCCCGCTCCGCTAGTTAGTGCTGGCAGCCAACAGCACGGAATGTCACGCTGGCCCCATCTGAGATGCGGGGGGTGTCTATTTTGGAAAAAGCCCCCCCCTCTCGATTCTAGAAGCCCAGGGGTCGGCCCCGATTTGGGGAGGGAAAGGGTGGGGGCGACGGCTCAATCGGGAGGAAGGATGAGACGCCCCCGCTGTTCCCACATCTGCTGCGCAGAAGTTTTGCTGAGGTCATTCGCAAAAGATCAAAACTTTTCGAGCAGAAAAGGGGCACTTTGGTCTTTCAGCTCCTTGGTGGTGATATGCGAGACTGGGGTTGGCGGGTGGGAGGAAAGGAGAGAGGGCAGCTCATTGTATGTCACCAAGCAGTGATTTTCCTGGAATTGGGGCCAGGCTGTTGCATTGAAGGATGTTCGTCCTGAAGAGGCATTTGACAAAACCTTGCGCTGCATTTCTGATGCTCTGTTTGGGTGGCGCCTCCTTTGTTTTTTTTAATAAAGTACCCCAAAAAATTGTCCGAATATAATGGTTTAAACCGAAATGCAGAGATGGGAAAGCTTTATAAATGCATCATAAAAAGTCATCTCTTTTTTTAAAAAGTGGGTGCATGAGACAAGAGTGTGGCTGCTTTTTTAGCACTGTAGAAAAACAGTTTGTAATTGATTCAGACCTCCGATGCTGCCGCTTCAGTTTGTCCACTTTGCCTGGAAGACTCAGGAGAACATGATATGATGGTGATTCAAATTGTGATCATTGTTTTTTTGGGGGGGCAGGGGTGAGAATCCCAGAGACAATCTTTAAGTTCAGCTTGATGGATCGGAACTGAAATGTGGATTTGGTCAGAAGCTCGCTATATGATAGCTTCTCCCCACCCAACAACAACAAAATTATAAGCAGACTTAAGAGTTAAATCCATCCCCAGAAAAGCTTTCTGGTTGGACCTGTGGGATTGATATGTTGCATAGATCGTTAGAATGGAATTGGGGAAATGTTTTCCCTCTTGGGGTTTGTTTTGCAGTTGACTAACAGGCTCTCTTTAAGTTTAGAAACCAGTCAGGGATTCCTCTGGGCTGTAGCTATGGTGCTTACCCAGGGTGCCTGGAAAAGGCTGGCTGTGTCCCTTCTTGCCTTCTGCCTCTGACATATAGTGGAGTTTAATTGTTGACGCTAAGACATTTAAGAATCGAATGCCTTTCTGGTCCTTGTGCAATCAAAAACTCTTCTTTCCACCCCCTTGCATGGAAAAGTGATGGGAAATCTTTTACTCTGCAAAATAGCTCAAATCCCTGCAGGATTCTGTTGCTGAAAGTGCTTGTATCCCTCGAGAACTGGGAGGTTCAGCTGCAGATCTTGAGCAATATATGTTGTGGTCTCTTCCCTCATCACTTCAGCATATCTGAAACTCCTCATGTAAAAAGATCTTGTGCTCTTTTCTGGCTGTGTTACATCCTCTTCCTTGCTCCTCTCTTTCTGGTGTTCAAGGTTAGAAGTACTTCAGCATACCTTGAATTTATGGAATTTGCAGTTAGCACAGAGTTTCTCTCTGGAGTAGCTTGTTTGCATTTCCTATTCCCCTTATGCATAATACAGGCTTCAAAACTACTGAATAATAATGGGGAAGCCAAGCTGAAATCTGATAATAATATGAGATTTCCCCCTCGCCTAAGGATTTTGATGTGGCTTTAGTATCTTGTTCTCTGCTCATACAGAGTCTCTCTCTCTCTCTCTCTCTCTCTGTGTGTGTGCTTGCTTGCTAGGGTACTGTCAATGGGGGGGGGGTCCTGTCTCTGCTTGGCTTAGTATCATTGAGAAGCGTTCCAGGCAATCCTGTATCCTTACAGAAGTTGCAGTGAGGAAAAAATAAGCACTTCTCTGTGGTTAGAAAGTGTATATAGGAACTAATTGTGGAGTTTGCTGATTTCTCCCTCCTTCCTCTTTAAAATGTTTTGGATGTCTTTGAGCTGCTCGACTTTGCTGTCATGCGTTTCCAAAACCAGTAGCCTGATAATGAATATTCACATAAGTTTTCTGGAGTTAAATAAGACTTACAGCCAACTCCAAATTAAATGTGCATGGGATTGCAGCCCTAGGAATACCAACACCAATACATATGACACAGCCTGGACCAACCACATGATGGAGTGAGTGTGCATAGGATTGCAGTTGGACAGCACGCCTACTTTTGGGTTAGCCCAGTAAACTTGGTGGAATTTACATTAAGGAAACTCACTTAAGATCCGACTAAATGTGTTTATTACTGCATTGCGCCCGTCTCCTGGCCTGAATGCAATGATTTGATCATCTTAATTGGCAACGTCTTTCAGTGTTTGTTTTCTTCATAAAATGGGCATGGTATTAATTAGTAGTAGTTGCTCCCCCCCCCCCCATTTGATCAATGGCAGTACAGTGGTACCTCAGGTTACATACGCTTCAGGTTACATACGCTTCAGGTTACAGACTCCGCTAACCCAGAAATAGTGCTTCAGGTTAAGAACTTTGGTTCAGGATGAGAACAGAAATCGTGCTCTGGTGGTGCGGCAGCAGCAGGAGGCCCCATTAGCTAAAGTGGTGCTTCAGGTTAAGAACAGTTTCAGGTTAAGAACGGACCTCCGGAACAAATTAAGTACTTAACCAGAGGTACCACTGTATAAGAACAATTGTTTAAATGTTTGTACATTAGGATTTCTTCACCACACTGTTCATATAAAATCTAAACCTTCATAAAACCTTCATTTTCCAGTTAATGCACCTGCTAATGGTGTCATTATCTTGGGTTTCTCTAACAAAAGGTATTCATGAAAGAGCCACAGCAATTGGCAGTAATTTCATTTATTTTTTGCATTAAGTTCTAAGTGGCTGAGCTGGTAGTCCTGCTGCTTTTGTCTGGATGCAGTAAGACTGATAGAGAAGGATGGTGTTGAACCCCATCGTATTGAAAATCCGTGAAGACTATAAAGAAAGGAGGTCCAACCCCACCATTGATAAAGAGGCATAGGCATGCATACATCCACAAAGTGCATTCATTACATTAATTGGGAAGGATAGCTCAGCAGCACAGCTCAAATCTAGTCTTGGACTTACTGAACTGTGAATGTTAAGGAAGAGTTTGCATTGCCCCTGTCAGTCATCTTGGGGAGTCCTTGGCTAGCTGGTTCTACTTTTCTTGATGAACTAAAGGCTGCACGCATTAAGCATATTTACATAGAAGTCTCGTTGAGATGAATGATGCTTCTTCAGAGTAAATGGATGTAGAATTGATGGTGCAAGTGAACAACCCACTCGGCGTGGTCTTCTTCTACCCAGCACAAGCACTTTACAGTTTTCTCTGGAGCTTTTTAGACTGAAAACAGCACCATGTGGATTTTCTGCAGAGACTACATCTGAGCTGACTGTACACATGCAGCGTTGATTCAGCGATGCTATAGTGCAGTGCTAGTTCTTGTTTCCAAATGTGTAAATAGATCATACTGTTTCAGTACCATTTCCATCTCAGATGTGTGTTTTCCAAATCCTTCTGATGCAATGTAATGTAATGGCTAGAGTGTTAGACTAGACCAGGGAGACGAGAGTGAAAACTCTCAACTGGCCATGAATCTTGCTGGGTGACCTTGGTTCCATCACAGTCTCTCATCCTAACCTACCCTCTCAAAGGGTTGTTGGGGTGATAAATGGAGGTGTGAGGGGACGGACCCATGAGCCATGTATGCCGTCTTGAGCTCCTTGCAGCAATGGAAGGATATAAACATGATAACAATTCAACAAGTCATAGAATTGTAGAGTAGGGAGCAATCTTGTACATCTCGTACAACCCCCAGCAATGCAGGAAACACAGCTAAGGAATGCCCCAGCAGATGGCCACCCAACCTCTGCTTAAAAGTCCCCAATGAAGGAGAGCCCATAGCCACTTGTGGAAGTCCGTTCCACTGTTGAACAGCTCCTACCACCAGAAAATTATTCCTTATGTATACCGTAGTCCTTTCTTGTAACTTGAATCCATTGATTCAGGTCCTACCCTCCAGAGCAGGATAAAACAAGCTTGCTCCATCTTCCATGTGACATCCCTTTATATATTTCTCTCTCTCCCCTTTAATTGTTTCTTTATGGAGAGTTAAGTTTTCATCAACAGTTTCCCGAAAAGAAAAAAAAGGTGGTAGAAGTGGAGATGTTTTATTTTATTTTTGCTGTCCCCCCCCCAAAAAAGAGATGGGGAATTATAGACACTGTGGTATGTTAAATGAAGGGGGCACGTTTCACAAGGAAAACTGCATAAGGTTTGCAGTAAACAACAAAGCCATCAATTGTGGTGACCCAGTTGTGGCTCCTGGCACCCTACCCTTAAACTATGTTTGGATGTCTTGAAAACATTCCACGTTGCCACCACAGATCATTTGCTCCAGTTGCACAGTAGTCCCAGCAGGTAATAAGGTGATTTTGTCAGCCACAAATATATAGTGCAGTGATGATGTAGCTGTTCTACTGATGGATGAAGATTCTTAGAACTTATTCTTAGAACTCTCACCTGGGTAGCAGAGATGGTTTTATGTCTCTTCTTTATGGTCAGCGCAGCTGGAGTTATGAAGGGCTTAGGCTTCCCCCAAATATTCCAGAAGAAGGGCAATAAACAAACATGGAATTACTATTCAGCAGATGTTCTTACCTGCAGGACCTTCTTTTTATCTAGTTCTAATAGAGGTTCATGGGATGTGGGTGACGGTGTGGGTTAAACCACAGAGCCTAGGACTTGCTGATCAGAAGGTTGGCGGTTCAGATCCCCGCGACGGGGTGAGCTCCCGTTGCTCGGTCCCTGCTCCTGCCAACTTAGCAGTTCGAAAGCACGTCAGAGTGCAAGTAGATAAATAGGTACCGCTCTGGCGGGAAGGTAAACGGCGTTTCTGTGCGCTGCTCTGGTTCGCCAGAAGCGGCATAGTCATGACCCAGAAGCTGTACGCCGGCTCCCTCTGCCAATAAAGCGAGATGAGCACCGCAACCTCAGAGTCGGTCATGACTGGGCCTAATGTTCAGGGGTCCCTTTACCTTTACCTAATAGAGGTTCAGTGCAGATCAGCTATGCGCAAGATTCAGGCTGAAGACAATTGCATCATAGATTCTGACCAAACTAAGCCTCCTGATGTATATTTTGCACTAGGAGGCTTAGTTTGGTCAGAATCAAGTATGCACTTTCAGAGTTAACGCTGAATACAGTACTTCTGGTAAGTGAGCCACCACAGCTGCTAGCGGGCTGTGAAAATTTGTGTCCCAGACCTTTTAGATGAGGGACACATTGGTTGCAAAATGTGATTTTGATTTTTTCAGCTCTCCTACCCCATTACAGGAAAATGGGAAGAAGGAATGGACTGGAGTAGCCTAGAAGATGGTACGACTAGCTGCAACCCTGAATAGGAGCACTCTAGGCTGCAACATTTTGTTGCAGGTCCCACTTGAATCAAATGGAGATGCCCTAGCTCTAGATTTCCTTTAACCAATAGGGGTTTGGACTAGGTAGGCAAATAGACCCATCCAACTCTGACTCCTTTTCCTAGCTAAGAGGAGAGGCCTTGTTGGTCTTTAGAAACAGTGATGTGACTTAGTCGTCTGTAAAAATTGTGGTTATTATCTTGGATTGTATATGTAACGTGTGCACTAGCAGCAAAGCACGGAGAAAGATTAGTATTTATGGGGTTCCCATGGTGGTGTATCAGTTGCCTTGAATGTGGTATAATGAAGAATATAAACATTTTAAATAAACAAAGTAAATAGTGTCTTTAATAGCATTTCTTGCACTTTCTCCCTTTCTTTCTGTGAGAGTTTGCAAAGAACAACCACTACGCTATGCTTATTTTATTTAAGGTTAACTTCACTGCAGCACGTCTATAATGAGTTATTAATTAAATTATTATAATTAAACGGCTATTTAATTACCCTGGAAAATGAGTTAACTTTTCCTGGTCACCAGTTCAAATGTTTTCCTTATGGCGAATAATTATGCTGTTGTGATCCGGAGACTGAATAAAAGAGCACTTGTGTAGCTGCTGAAAAGCACTCTGTCGTCTTATTAGATGTGACTGTTTCTTTTAAACAGGGTTGTGTTGTTCTTTGAAGATGGAGAGGTTGTTTTAAGTCCCCTGTAAGGCACTGCTTGCATGGAAGTCATAAAGAACCCCCTTTTTAAATGTTTGCGTCTCATCTTCAGCCGCAGCAAATAATGAGTGAGCAATTTGGGTTTGGTTCAAGACACATTGCTAAAGTGGTATAACATGGTTTCCTGTTGTAGCTAGTATGGGAGAATTACTTCAGGCTGTTCTGCAAACAAAACCTTGCCTAGTTGTGTCCTTAGTTCACAAGGCAAGCGAGGAGTTTGCGTCTGTAGCGCTGGTAATTTATTCCTAGACCTACATTGCACAACATAGTCTTCCTTGTTCACAACGAAACACATTTTGCACCCCTTTTGAGCAAAGAGAGATTAATCCTTGATGATGTAATGATAGTTATGGTTGCTTTCTGAATTCTATAGTCCTGAGGAACAATAACATAATACAGCAATACTCAAAATGACACAGGTTCTCCGAAGCAACCCTGGGGAGAAGGACTGTGCAGAGAGTTAAACCTTAAGGGATCTGCTTCCAACAAGCAGTGTGAATTATTTTTGTCTGGTTCTGAGTTTGCTTGGGGTGAAATAAGATGATGAGCAATATATGCATATTATTGCACAAGCAATCTGTAAAGAACAAATTGCACATCAAATAAATAAAATAATAAAAATATGGTTTTCTTAAAACACCCGTAAGCACATTAACACAATTGTTTCCAACCAAAAGCGAATTAATTTTGGATGGCATTATTAACATTGTGTTGGACTTCCTTGTTGAACACAAATACACAACACTGCATTCTTTTCTTCCTTCCTGCTCAAAACAATTCTGTGGTGTCTTGGAAGATCTGTAATACTGAAGGTGGCTATAAAATGAAAGATTTATTAACATGTGCACAGTAGAATGGTTAATATCTTTTCATTTATATCAGGGATAGGGAAACTTGTTCTGAGGGCCGCATAATGTTTTGGGAGCCGCATGGCAGTGGTGGGTGGGGCCAGAGGCGAAAGTGGGTGGAGCAACCAAACAAGCGTCATTATCAGAGTTCAGGGACGCATCCCAACCAGGCAGAAACTCTCAAGGTGTGTGAGAAGCAACACTGGTGAGGGGTGTCACCTGGAAATAGTCCCAAGGGCCATATTTCGAGACCCGGAAGGGCAGCATTTGAACCCTGGAGCAGTGTTCCCCTTGATTTTCATGAACCTTCACCATTGCATCCCTATGGCAGATACTCAACATTGTGTTGCAAAATAAACAGTAGTGTTTAATGATCTAACTGACTTGTATTCACGGATTCTCATCGGTATGCTTTCTCCTCACACCGTCTCACAAACATGTAGGTGCCTAGTTGTCACTGGCACCTTTAAAAAAAACCAATTGGTCCTGGCACTTGGGTTGCTGAAAAGGGACAGGAAACATGTTCTTCATCCTGGGTATGTTGCAGTCTGTGTGTGGGCTTGGCTACCTCTTCCGGCGAAGCATGATACTCAGTCATGTGATTCTCTGGAGAGCTTTTTTTAAAAAAGAAAAAGAAAAAGCCACATGGGTGGCCATATTGGAGAGGGGAGGGCGCTCTTTCTATCAGCTCAAAATCCTTCCTTTCCCACCCTGCCCACAGCAGGTTAAAGTACACGGTTCCCAGTGATCATTATCTGTATGTAGCTGAGTCCTTCCTTTCTCAGTTCTTAATCTCAGCACTGGAGGTAAGGCATCCAGATTGGAGGCAATGATATCACAGTACAGTGGTACCTCGGTTTAAGAACAGCTTAGTTCAGGCTTCCTCATCCTCGGCCCTCCAGATTTTTTTTGGCCCTCAACTTCCATGATCCCTAGCTAGCAGGACCAGTGGTCAGGCATGATGGGAATTTTAGTCTGAAAACATCTGGAGGGCCGAGGTTGAGGAAGCCTGGCTTAGTTTATGAACAACTTGGATTAAGAACTCTGCAAACTGGGAAGTAGGTGTTTTGGTTGGTGAACTTTGCATTGGAATAAGAACATGCTTCGCTTCCTGTTGAGTGTGTTCCATTTGCAACTTGAGTCCCCCGCTGCTATGGGAAAGCACTCCTTGGTTTAAGAACGGACTTCTGGAATGGATTAAGTTCGCAAACCAAGGTACCACTGTAGTTTGCAGTGCTTGGACTTCTTCGTTATTCACTGTGTTGAGTGTGTGGGCCAGAGGGGTGGGACGAACGTGGAAACTACTAGCCATCCCTTCCAACGGTGGATCCTGCTCTCCACCTTCCTAAGTTCTGCAGAATCGGAATCAATAATAATATTCTATCTTTACCTGTAATGACTCTTTTTTAATTTCGGTATTCATCATGAAAAGATTGTGTATCTTTCTCTGTGTTAATAAGATTCAAAGGCATAATTTCTGAATGGATCTGACATTTAGGGCCATGATGTCCCTGCTGCTATTGGAACCTTTGCTTCTTGAGGCAAACTTTACACAGTACGTTTCTCATACACATATTTTTTGTAAAACACTTAGAGGTTTTTTCTACAATCAAGCAGTATATAAATTTTAGGAAATAAATAGGTTTTGGTCATCTCCAGGTATGTGCTCTTCTGATCAGATGTAGGTAGAGTTTATACAAACATAAAAGCAAGAGCTACTCTACTCCGCTGTTGAACACTGCATTGACTTTTTCATTGGGCTCTACACGGTGAAATTAAGATTTCCTTCTGGTCAATCACTATCAGCTCAGACACCATCCGTGTATATGCATAGTTAGGTATTTCAGTCCCAATGTACCGTATTTTACATTTACATTGAACAGCATTTGCCAATTAGTGTCAATTCTTCTGGAGCTCTTTGCAAACCCTTCCATTTTTATTACCCTGAATAAATTGCTTTCCTATACTAACGTTAATAAGTTACCTTATTGCTCATCCTTAACTTTGGATAATTTACATATCTTTTAGAGATAGCAGCAGGGAGAAATTCAGTTTGTTTTGCCCAAATTCACATTTCCCACAACAGTACACAAATTGAAATGCATATTAGGGAAACGTGTACATAAAGTATTGGTGAAAATAATACACAAAATGCTTTGTATCGGGTGAAATTGCATTCAAAATTTTGTATGCTAGGAGAAATGCACACAGTTTAAAAAGAATTGTTTTCTTAAAAAAGCAAATGTGACACAGAAATGTGATGAACTGAATTTAAGGTTAGAAAAATGAGGAACTAAGAGAAAACAGATTAGACAGATTATCAATCCTTTTGGGGATATCCCACTGTTTACATTCTTCCCCTAAATTGTGAGAGTTATCCATTTATTCCTACTCTCCGCTTCCTGTTCTTTAACCAGTTACATAGGGCATGCCACACGACTGCTAAGTTTGCCTAGGAGCATTTGGTGAGAGACTTTGTCAAAAGTCCAAGAACACAACACTTAACGGATCAGCTTTATCCACATGCTTGTTGTTGTTGTTGATGATGATAATAATAATAATATTTTTATCTATATGCATTTACACACACACACTTTACCCTCCAATATGCATTTCTGTACACATTATTTGGCTGGAACACTGCATTACAAAACCCAGAGAAGTGAGGATTTTGAAATATGGCAGCTCTTCAGATCGCGTATTGTTTCCGGAAGTGTGAATTAGTTAGATTTGCCTCTAAATGCAAACTGAATCTTAATTTCTCCCCCACCCCAGTGTGCACACATCACAACTTATTTCTTTGGCTACAGCAGAACACTTATTTCCATCCTATTTTCAGCTGGGGTGGGGACCCTGAAGGTGCCAGGGAAGGCCTGCGGGTACCATGTTGGCAACTCCTACTCCATGGTTCCCAGAGCATGCTTATTAGGTTTCTTATTTGGACGTAAAAGTGGAACGGAGCTGTTTTAAAAACAAAATGTAGCACTGGGTGTTCAACCATTTTGGAGAGAAGCACGTTCATGGGCTTCAGGTCTCTTGCTGTGTTTCCTGGACTAGGATTTGGAAACATTTTGTTACCGAGTCCTGATGACAGAACGATGGCTGTGACGGAAACATCTTAATGTCTGTGACAGCATTTTTATCCTGCGTGCTCTTTAAACACTTCTGCGTTGTGAATTCGTGGAGAGAGAATGGAATCACCACCCCGAGGCAGAAAGTTTGAAGTAACATTGCTGCTGCTTTTATTAGCTCAATGAAAATTTCATATGTATCCCCCTGCACTCAAATACTGTACACAGCTTCCAGTCTTTGATGGCTTTGTTTATAATTTCTCCGGCGTAGACTCTTTGATTATTTCTTAGCTGTGAGGCTTGGCATTTCAACTGTAATGTGCCGCTTTAGAGAAAGGAATCGCGCGAAACTTGCTGGAGACTGAATGTCTGTGGAGCCCTTATTTGGCTGAGCATATTACGTTTGCTGAGCTTGGCATTAGCTTTATGTTTACACTCTGGCTTTCATTTCAGGCAGCCTGTGAATCCACAATCCAGTGAAGCTGAGGGATGGGGATTTGAACTGATTGACAATCTGGTCCTGCTCATGTTTCCTTTTGGTGCCCAAGCCCAAAAGTAGTGGGCCCTTCTCTGTTGTGGCACCTTGGTGGTGGAACTCTCATTGCTCCCTAGATGGGATTCATGTCAGGAGTTTTGCCCATTATGGCATAAGTGTCACGGAATCACAAAATATTATTATATTTCCCAATTCTGAAAATGTGGCCAACCCGGTCCAGCATTCCTTAAGGCACATTAACACTCTTCTGTGAAAGGGGGTACAGTTTAGGGGTAGCCAATTTAGCAGCCTCCATCAGCCCCAGTCAACATACCAGTGGTCATGGATGATGGAAGCTGTAGTCTTAACAATATTTGGTCACAGGTCCTCTCTACCCTTCTGTTACGTTCTTACCTGGATTACAGTGCAAACATCTTGTTCCTTGTCACAAAATATTCCACAACACAAATCCTTCCCTCAGTGGTAGTCCAGGTCTAGAAAAAGTGTCCTTGTCTACTGAGTCCTTGTCCAGGACAACTTGACAATCTTCAAATTGAGGAAAGTGTAGGTGAAGCACGAATTTCATCTGGCTTTTGAAAACTTGGTTACGTTTTTTTTGTTGTCCGCTGGTTTTGTGTGTTGGTTTCTTTAGAGACTTTGATTGGGTCAGTAGGCCCAAATGTCTTTATCTAATCCATGGTAGTGAGTTATACAGTGGTGCCTCCAGTTGGTGACGGGATCCATTCCAGAGCTCTGGTTGGATCCCGAGGTTTCCGCAACCGGAGGGACTGCTTCTGTGCATGCGCGCAGTGCGGTAGAGCGCTTCTGCGCATGTGCGTGTGGTGAAACACTTCCAGGTTTGCCGTTTTCGCAACCCGAAGTTTACATTACCCGAGGGTAACATAAGCCGAGGTGCTACTGTATTCAGATTTGTTTTGTCCCAAGGGAGGCTTGGAACGGTAGGGATGAATTGTAGTCGCTTGCTTGCTTCTAGTTAGCAATACCTTTTAAAGAGCTAAACTATACTTGGACTATTTAAGTCATACATCTAAATTGAAAGGCAACATTCTCAAGCAAATGCTTGTTTTGTGAGAGTTTAGGCCACAATGCAAAAGTGAGTGCTTAAGGATATTGAAACCTATTACAGCATAAGGCCTTCTCTTTTGGATTTGGGCTGCTTTGCACAATGCATTTTTGCTCAACAAGTGCACTTTTTATAGGTGGGAAATAGTGTTGCGGAGCAGAAAATTCAGCACAATTGAAACTCTGGTGCTTTTTCCGCAGCAGGAGCAGCAAAACCATATGCTGGAGTAGCATTTGCCTGTGTTGTAAGCTTGTGAAGTAGGGGGACAAATTTGGTTTGGTGCATGATTGCTTGGGTAGGGTAGACTCAGACAGTGACAGGCCCATGATCACCCAGTGAATTGCATGGCTGTTGACAGATGTGAATCCAGGCCTCCAAAAGGCTCACGATTCTGTGACTGCTGAAGTGGTTGGGGGCACTGCTTTACCTGGCCTCCCATCACTGCAGAGGTGAGATCAGCATGATACAAAAGCAACAGTAGAGTAGCCTGGCGTTCCTGCTGGTGTGTTTGCACCACGCAAACTTCTCTGCTGCTTTGCCCTCTGGGTATGCTACGGTGGTGGCAGGGGGTCACTTAAGTAGCCCTACCAACTGTGCAATTGTCAGGATGTCCTAATATAATGCTGCTTTTTCAATATTGTAGACTGTGCTATGTACTATAGGTGGTGTTGCATGGAGATTATTTCACCTGTTCAAGCATTTCTGCTTGACTGATGGAATGATTTTGCTTTCGTTGTAGAACAATGCATCCCTTATAAGAGGGGAAGGAATGAAAATAGTGGGCATATGCAAAATGGGATGTTCTTATTTGGCTTATTGTAATAGATTTGAGAACATGGACCGTGTATGACTGGTGCAATTATTGTGAAACTTAAGTTATAGGGTTTTTTCCACTGTATCATTAAAATATCAATTTTAAAGTGCTTGCTTTGCCAGAATCTTCTTTGAGGGAAAAATAATAATCAGAAAAGTCATGAACAAATACCACAATGATCTGATGCAGGGGTGGGCTAAAATTAGATCAGGGTGTGCTGGTACCGGTAAATCTCTGGGTTATTTGCAGTAGGTTAGCAAGGGTTTCTGAGCCCAAAACATTTTAATAAACCAGCATACATGGCTTTTCCACCTAAACCAAGCTGCTAAAATGAAGAAAGGTAACCAGCAGTGAACTTTGATGCGAAGGAACAGTGAGTTCAGTTCAGTTCTGTACTGCAAAGAAATTCCTGGACTCAGAATGTGTTCAGAGACACCCTGTTCAATTCTAATTGGTTGTCGTTTGCACCTGACTCTGGTTGATAGATCAAAGAAGCCCTGACAAGCCCAAAGACTGCTCATGCCTAATCTAAAGAATACAAAGCTGGACTCATTTAAAAGCATATTCTATACCTTTCCTGGGCAAGCCTTCATGGAATGGATGGAAGTTTGCAAAAACAATGCAGAACTCCCATTCATTTTTCTGGGCCTTGCTTATGAGGTGTGCCTGGAGGCAGTGTTAGAAGCTCAGATATCTAAGCTAGGGGCCAAATGGCTCCTTAAACCAAGGTTTCAGTCACCAAAATGGCACTCCCCCTATTGGTGACCCCAGGGGAGTTCCTAGTTGATGTGCATCAGCAGGACTCCCTCTACTGGTGGTTAACCGTTCCCGGACTTCAAGCGGACGGGCTGAAGTCGGATATAGTCGGTTAGGACCAATGCCTACGCCAATACCGCTCATCACCTGAAACCAATAAAGTTGTGGCCTTTTTTAACCCATTAACCTTAATAATTGTGTCATGCGTCATTATTTCCACCTTGGGGGAGGAGGGGGACTTGCCACACAACTTGAAGAAAAGTGACTAGATCCAGGGACAGTCCATATATCTATTGGACCTATTCCTACCTCTTTTTCTTAATGGTGGCATGGACCATTCATAAAATTAAGAATATTATTCAGGGCAGTGGGGTGCGGTAAGTGTAGACAAGCTACAACAGTTAACTATAGCGTTGTTTGCTGCTCCTGCTCAGTCTGCACAGAAAAAGCATTTTGGTTCTTGAATTTCATTCTGATTATGCAGATAAAATATAACTGATAGAATTCTACAGGATGGGGTATTAGTGTGTGAAAACAGTCCAGATCCCCAGACATCACCTCTAGATGGTGGAGATGTCAGGTGCTATCCTGGCCCCCAAGCATCTTCACTTGGTAGCAAGTGGCCGATAGCCAGGTGAAAAATGCGCCTGGCTCCTGGCTAATTTCAAACATTGCCTGAAGGGTTATGCCCAATTAGTACGAAAACATTTTTCTGTTTGTATTTTTTGAAAGAAAGAAAGAAAGAAAGAAAGAAAGAAAGAAAGAAAGAAAGAATTAGCACTTAAATGAAAGAATGCTTACCATCAGGTGTGTTCACATGGCAGTTTATTCAGTTTTTATGGCTTTCCCCTAACAATTCATGTTGTGCAAGTCTAGTGCTCATTTCTGTGTTTGCTTCCTTGCTTCGCATTTGTAAGAAATCAATATTTTATTGTGGTGGCACTTAACACTGTGGAACTCCCTGCTTGTTTACATAAGGAAGCTGTGTTTGCTGTACTCGTGTGTGTGTGTGTGTGTGTGTGTGTGTGTGTGTGTGTCTGCTTACAACATTTTTGCTTAGGGAAGCCCATCCAGACATGTAGAATGATGACAAGTGTTTTAACCTGGTTTTTAGCTTATAGTTGATTTTAATTATTATTTTTGAAATGATTTCAGCAGGGTTTTTTTTTAAAAAAAACTTTTTAAAAAACTGATATTGTTTTTCTTGTAAATCGCTTCAAGGTTTCGTTACAATCAAGTTGTGTATAAATCTTGCAAAATAAATAAATAGGGTGGAAGCAACATCAAACTTCCAGCCTCTTACTTTGAGGGATGGAGAGGTTCTGCGTACCATTTAAGAAGCAAGCCACAACCTCTTGTTCTGGTGATAATTAGTACTATATGAATTTACCTCTTAATGCTGTTGCTTCTAATCCAATGAAAGGCATTTGATCTGCATTCTGGGCACAGCCTTCCAATGGAGCCATTCAGGGAAGTCCTGACCTACTTTCTCTGAGGAAAGTGGGCAAGTCGGCCTTGCCCTTCTAATTTGTCGGGAAAGGTTTTGAGGTAAATTCTTCCCGGCTTAAACGCTCACGCACAGAAAAACTTTGCTGTAGAGCATCATTCACAGGCGGCAGCCCCTTGCTAGGCTAAGCGTTAAATATAGCATGAAGCTTAACAGAACTTACCTGCAATTAAGTAGTGGCAGTCTCTCATTTGGCGCTCCGCAGTTGTCAATTAGCCTTTATTACGAGAGATTTGTTTGCTAGAGGCTTTTGTGAATGGAGGCTGTGCCCTAACTGTGGTTCTTGCTCACAACCTGATTTTTTTTTTAAGGATGTAAATTTGTGTGTGCCATTGCAGGGATGCTTATTTTAAAGTTGCACTCTTTCTTTCTTTTTCTTTTTCAAAAAAAGAGCCCCCCCCCATCCCTGCAAGACAGTGACTAGATTCTAAATTCCTCTCCCCTGTATTAGTAAAGTGGATGTCCCTCATTCAGATCATAGAATCATAGAGTTGTAAGGGAACTGCTGCCTGCAATGCAAGAATCTCAGCTAAAGCATCCATGACAGATGGCCAACTTCTGCCATCCAACCAGATGTGCTGGTCTAAGTAGGCAGAAGAAGAGAGAGGGAATGAGTCCCATGTGGTGGTTGGATCTAGGGGCAGTGGTGCCTGGTTCATCAAGGTAAATGGGGTACTGCTTCACCACCAACCCCATTCTGCCTCCAGCCAGTCCCCACCCATCTACCTTCTTCCTTACATCCAGGCCAGGGACTGTCACTGGCTATTAGCTTTCTTCTGCTAATAGTCTCAGTGCTGCCCCATGTAGAACTTAGCGGGGAGGAGGGAGAAGTAGAGTTGGTTGACTCCACTTGTTGTGGCTCCCCCTATCAGTGTCTCTGGCTCCACCTCCTTTTGGCATCCCTGTCTTCCACCCCACTAGTCTCAGTGGACGCTGGTCATTATTGCCTGGGGGCACTGTAAATTTTGGAAAGGAAAAAGCCCTGCATTGCTTAAAAAAAACCAAGAATAGAAGACATTGTGGAATTGTAGACTTTGGAGGATGAACTGCAGCAGTTGAGGGCTGAATACCTCACAGATAAGGATGGGTACACACACTAAGTGGAACGGGAGTGAAGTGAGCTACATGTCTCACCACGTGTCAGAGAAGGATAAGCTTGTATTGCTCCTCAGACAAACCCTGCCTCTTTTTGTCTTGTCCTTCAGTCCTGTCTTGTCCTTCGGTTTTGACTTCTGGCTTGTTCCATGGCTTCTGATTCCCAGCTCCTGGTTCAGTTCAACCTGCTGCCCATGGCCAAGCTCTGGAAGGCAGTGACTCTTCAAGTCAAGGGTGGGGAGCTTGTGGCCCTCGAGATCTTATTGGACTCTCAACTCACATCAGCTCCAGTTAGCATGGGCAGTGGTGATTGGGATGATGAGTATTATAGTTGAACAATATCTGAAGGGCCACAGATTCTGTATCCCTGCCACCTGAGATGCCATGGATTGGACCTGGGACCTCATCTCTCTTATACAGCCTGCTACAGTGTATGTTTATGCCCTCTGAGCACTGAGATGTGTCACCTACATATGGTTTAGATATGCACCTTTCATTTTCAAGTTTGGATAAGCTGCATATTGGCTAGCATGGGATTGAAGTGGAAAACATATGCTTCTACTTGTTTAAATATTGGTATGGATTTTGGGCAACTTGAGTCTGCTGATGAGTAATAGCAATAAAGAGTACTTAAAATAACAAGATTAAAGTCATCATCTGGAAGCCGTATGCAACAGATGACCCCAAACCTTTTGAACTCAACTGGTAATCATCATCATCATCATCACCACCACATTGTTATTCACATTCTTGAGTGTGACTCAGCCATGCATTTCTCTGTGTTACTGATTGGACATATTCATATTGTATTTATGTGAATTTGTATTGTCCACTACTCAGATATTTTTAGGTTTGAGTTGTACATAAGTTTCTAAGTAAATTAATAGATATGGCGGACTCAAGCTGTAATGGGATTTATAAGTTAAAACAAGCATTTTGATTTGTGATGCTTAGTCATGCAGAATAGATTGCTGCTTCCATGTCTCCAACTGAAAAGCAAATTGCATCATTCTAGACCAGGTGGAAATTCCAAAAGTCTTCAAAAGCAGTTCTACATTGAGGATAGGTGGGCAGTGCACTCAAAGTTACAAAGGCACCCGTTGATTTCAGCTGTTTTGTTAGTTAACCTCTCTCCTTAAGACAAAAGGACTTGCCAAGTGGTCAAATTTCCTGCATCTTTCCCATGTTTTTATTAAGAAACAACAAAGACCCTAACCTACCCAAGCATTCTATTAAAAAATGCTGGTGTATAAGCTGGGTATAAAAGTAAGGTGGCAATATTGAGAAATCAAAAGTTGTGCATTCATCCTGAGGGCCAGATTAGAAGGAAGCTCTGTTGGGACCAAACTACATGTTGCACATGACTGAAATGTGGGTTCCTATTTGCTTGCTGCAGTGGCACTGGGATTCCAGTTAGGAAAGTGGCATGGCAGAGAAGAAGTTCATTATGAACGAAGTACTTTCATTCACCAAGGCAATGAAAATAAATGTCGGTTCCACCTACTTGCTTTATCCTCTTGTCAGATGTTTGACTTTTTAATATCTCAGTCAAGGTACATTGGGTTGTCCTAATAGCACTGTGGTATCTGCCATTCAACACTGAAAGGTATAAAAGAATGCTGTGTGTGAGTGTGTGGCGCACGCTATGTGCAGTAGAACAAACCACCCAAATCCTGGCTTCTGCTGAGTCAGTTGCACACCAGTCACAGGCACGTAATGTGTCTGGAACATACGGTCCAACCAACTCGGGCCTCCTGCCAAGCTGTCTCGCTAGGCAAGGGAGAAGAGAGTCTCCGTGGCACAACTCTTGACGGATTATCTCCAGATCAGCAGCTGCTGTCTGAGAGCTTGCTTATGCACACCCTGCATCATGAACAACTTATTAACCCTCTGGACCCACTGAAGGCATTGACACTTACCTATAAATAGTCTTCCTTGCTTTTTTCCCTTGCCTTTCAGTAGACGAATTAGAGCAAATAAAAAGGTTGCAATTCAAGGATTTCTCCAAGGCAGGATTGACCTACATATTCAGTGCTCCTGATTTTCTTTTCCTTAAAGAAGTTTATATGTTTGCAAGGTCCACAAGTAAGTTTGAATAAACATGTCAACTTACTGTGAGTCAGACTTCACTTTATAGGCATGAGCTACAGAGAGTTGTGCAAAACTGTCAGTTGAGTGAAAGAGAACTGAACATATATTCCGTTGAATCAGGAACCGCAAAGGAAAATTGGATGCACACCTGAGTGTTAATGCCATCTATCTGCACTGAGTTGCTATTCAGTAGGCTGTACAGTCAAATCTGTTGCTCAGTCTATGTTCTGGTGCAACTAGAAATAGTGCCTTTTTAAAAAGTATGACTGCATCCAAGTCAGGGTGTTTTGAGTTCTAACACCAAAGTCCTTGTTGAGTTTGCTGATTTTGTTGCTATAATTTTAATCTGTCATGGTTGTTATTTTGCGGTCTATATATTGTTGATATTGCTGTTCATTTCAATATAGTTGATATAAGGCAGTCTTGTGTAATAGTTCCTTATTCAGAAGGTATGATGTAAATTTCATATCTCATTCTTTTAATGCTGCAAAAAATCGAGTGCCTAGGATGCTGGCTGAGGCTGCTGGGAGTTGAAGTTCAGCAACGTATGCAGTGCCAGAGATTTTCCATCCCTAGCTTAAGATCAAAGTTCAGTTTTGGGTGTTTTCCCTCTCCTCCAGCAACCCTGTCCCACATTATTCAGTAGCGCTGCTGACCCTTCCAGAGAAGCTTTTCAGCAGATGCATTTGGCTTCATGAGCAAGGACAGAACAGGAAACACTCCTTCCGTGAACCTCTTCCAGTTAACTTGTCTTGGGATCCAAACCAAAGTGTACTGTATCTCTAGTTTTGGTCCAGCATTGCTGGCCGCCTTCTTAGTACTTTTGTTTGGATTTCTTTTCAAGGCTGTCCAGAGGACTTGGGATGGGTTTACACAGGGGATGCTATCAACTGTACAGACATCTGTGTTACATAGGTTAAATGTCATAGCTTCCCAGAAGAGCCCTGAGAACGGGAGTTCGGAATTTTCTAGCAGTGATCCAGAACACTCCCGTGAGAGCTACAGTTTTTCCTGTTTCCTAAACTAAGGAATGGGAGTCAAGCCAGTTTAAGGCTGGCTCATATTACGTGGTGTGCCCTTCTGTTTCACAACAACTCTCTTAGGATGAGTGATAGCAAAACATCCTAGGACTAGGCTATGAAATTTGTTGCTGGAAAGCCACTTCAGATAGTACCTTTTTCTTAATGAAATGTATTTTCACTTGAAATATAGGACAGAGATGGGTAATCTGTGGCCTTCTAGAAATTTTGGGCCCATCCAACAATGATGTGAGTTTGAATCCAATAACGTCTGGAAGGCTCCATTCCCGATACAGCACAAAACTATTTGCTTTATTGTAAATTGCCCAGAAACATAGCATCTTCCTTTTCTTACGCTCACTGCGTCTTGGGAAGGCTGTGTCTCCATTTTGCCTGTGTTGTTTAAAAATGCATTGTATCTGCTGAGACAATCTTTTCTATATTGCTTCATTTTCTTAAAAAACATAGTCTGGTCCCGTTCTCCCCCAGTTTGCACAACTAGACCCTAGTCAAAGATCCATCATGGTTGGGAAAACAACATTGTCGTGAATCAACTTGCATTCGTAGTTATGTGAATAGTGTGAAATAGTCGTTTTTTGAGGAAACTGTGCAACTTTGTTCATCAAGGGCAGGAGGAAAAGCCATCAGTGCTAATTAATAAACAGAAGAAAAACAGCCAAGTTTTCCAACACAGGAGTCAAATTAACACATAGCAGGTCCAAGTACAAAGTGAAGATCAGCCGGGTCCTGGCTCTTACCAAAAGGGCAACAGCTGCCCCCACCCCAGCAGAGAATGCCCTAACGCAGCCTTTCTCAACCTGTGGGTCCCCAGATGTTGTTGAACTACAACTCCCATCACCCCTAGCTAGCAAGGCCAGAGCTCAGGGATGATGGGAGTTGTAGTCCAACAACATCTGGGGACCCACAGGTTGAGAACCGCTGCCCTAACGGAATGGCCTGTCACTACCCTGTAATGACAGAAGTGAAGGAAAGAGCAATCTCTGTCTCAGAGGAGCAAAGGCTTCAGCTAGGATGACTCAGTTGGTAGAGCATGGGGCTTTTAACCTCAGAGCCGTGAGTTTGAGCCCTACGTTGGGCAAAAAGATTCCTGCATTGCAGGCGGGTGGACTAGATGACCCTTGGGGGTACCTTACAATTCTGTGGTTCTATAGAAGTTGCTCTACTCCCACCCAGCGATAAAATTTGAAACTGCTTACTGAGTCTCTGCTGTAGTGCCCAGCCTATTTAGAGGATACCTATGGAATATATTAAGTTTTTTAAAAAAACACAAAAAACTGCCCTTATCTTTTAACGGTAAAATTATAACTATCTGTACAGTGGTACCTCTAGATACGAACGGGATCCGTTCTGGAGCCCCGTTCACATCTAGAAGCAAACGTAACTAGTGATGGCATGTCTGCGCACGCGTGTGTCGCTTTTTGCCACTTATGCGCATGACATCATTTTGAGCATCTGAGAATGTGCAAGCGGCGAAACCCGGAAGTAACGTGCTCCATTACTTCCGGGTTGCCGCAGAGCGCAGCTCGAACGTGCTCAACTCGAGGTATGACTGTATAAACCGCTGAGTATCCCAAAGGGAGTCCTATTATATAACATACCTTTAGAATATTATTTATTAAATCTTTTTATATTGCCTTTGCAAGTACAGTAGAGCATATATTTAGGGAAAGTGAAAGAACCGAACTGGAACTTGCTGAAAAAACTGAACTGGAACTTTCCATTTCAAAGGATGTCGCTTTTCGAACTGAAGATGGAAAGACACAAACAGGTCAACACGTTGCACCTTTTGTCCGGATGCACTGCTGCTCCCGTTCCATATAGGACCCTCGTTCTGTTTATTTATGGAGTGTTCGGATTGCCAGGGCACCCAACCTGAAGACTGTGAAAGCGGTGCAAGGCCTGCAAAGTGGTTCTCGCGAGCCCTTGTGGTTGGCAGGGAGAGGCGGGAGGCGTGCGTAATCCTTGTTAATGCTGTTACCGTACAGTAGGTCACTGCTTTAGGGAGCTTTGCTCAGCTTGCTTACTTGGGAGTCTTGGCTTCTCTTGGGAGATGTTAACCTCCTCCTTAGAGAAAAGGAAGAAAGATCAAAGCGGAGAACAGTCGAAATTGATTTTTTTAAATAAAAAACTTCTTTTGAGGGGGGAAACGTGCTCGGGAAGTCGCAGTGGTAAAAGCATTGTGCATGTTGGCAGATCAGAAGGTGCTTTTCATAATACATCAACTAAAGAGGAGCAGGCGTCCTTAGAGAGCTGTGTTGCATTCTTGGTCAAACATTTAACATAACATGTATAAATATTTTTCTCCCCAGATAGACAGCAGAGCGTTGGTTTCTCATTTCCCTCCCCCCCCCCCCCCCGGTCAATGCCTGCTTTCAAGTAGGATGCGTGTTACTCCCTTTCCCATGTACATACACACACACACAGAGAGAGAGAGAGAGAGAGAGAGAGCGCTTTAGGGGATGATCATTCAAAGAAGCTATGTGGTAGCAAAATCTGAAGCATGTTATTGTTATGCTTATTATGCTTATAATATGTGAAGTTTGGAAGACAGCACTCTTGCATGGTACTTGCACACCATACATTTAAAGCACATTTAAATGCACCTCCCACCAAATCCTGGGCACTGTAGGTTGTAGGGACTTGTGAAGGGTAAACCACAGGTCCCAGGATTCTTTGAGGGAGAAAAATGTGATTTAAATGCATGATATGTGTCAGGGAACTTCCATCAACTCAAAGGCGGGAGGTGGAAGGGCAGTTGGGTTACAGGGAGCCGCCAAAGATATTGAGAAGCAGTTCGTCCTCCGGGGAGGAGCGAAGCCACGCCTCCAGTGGGGAAGGGATGCAGGGCTCGGAGGATGCAGGGGAGAGCCGCAGCGCCAAACCTGAGCAAAGCGGGGGGGGGGAGGCAGGTCCCCCTTTGCCCACTCCCTCTCTGCGCAGTAGGCTCACGCGCAGAGAGGGGAGGCGTAGGATGGGGGTCAAAAAACTGCTCTGCTGGGGAAAGTTTAAGGACCGCCCCCTCCCAGATTCTGCTAGCGACTGAGCAGACATGGAATTGAGTCTGTCTGCATTGTGAACGTTTTGGACAAATAATAAAGCCTCGAAAAGACCAACGGGGAGTCTTGCCTGTTTGCTCTCGAGCAACCACGCCGGCAGTCATAACAATATGTAAGCAGCCTATGTCAAAGTGAACAAGGTTTTTGTGGGGTGGCTAGGGAAGGCTAGCAGTCATGGGATGACTTGTAGCTGCATGGTCCTCTAGCCCAGTAGGGAATGCTACTTCAGCATCCCTGATAGTTGGCCTATCAGGCTCTGCTATCAAAGGGGCATCCACGACTGGGCAAGGCAGTCTGTTCCACTTTCAAAGTCAGCTTCTACTCCCAAGAGGTTGTTGCTAATGTTTCTGGAAATTTGAACAAGCAGTTTTGGGGCTTACCCCCTGGAACCACAGGGAAAAAATTTGCTCCATCGGTGGCCACCATTACTTGACCGGCTGGACTGTTTGTGAGGAGCCAGAATACCATGGTTATCGAATCAACCATTGAATCCTTGGAAGTGGCTGAGTATACTGCTTTAAATGTCTACTGCAGATGGTTCCTAGGTCTGGGTTCTCCAATGTGTATACATGGCTATATATAAGCCAGTGTGTGTTTTTCTGTGAGAGGTGCTGATGTTTTCTGCAGTGAGCACTGAGTGCCTTGAGCTGCCTTTAAATTGCAGGCCTGTCGATCCAACATAGATTTTATGAAGGAAAGCAGTATATGGACTTCCTACTTTTTACAGCTTCTGTGTTGAGTCTAAATATGTGCTAGTAGATTTCATCTAATTGTTTACATTTCCTTGGTTTTTAATTTGTTTTGAAGAACATTACATTAGTTTTATAGTGAAATAACACCAATCAGTTCCAGAAAAACTTGTAGAGTGTTACATGCTTACATCAATCACATCTGAGGGGGAAAAAATTGAGCGGGGACACTGTCAATTAACCGAATCATTGAATAGACACAACCAAGGCTTCAGCTGTGACATAACCTCTCCATAACTGAGCATGAGCAGTGGGAATATTACATTATAAAGTCATTTATATTTGCATAGTTGATATATGGCAGTCATGTCCAACAGGTAGATCGTGATCTACCTGTAGATCAGTGGACATTCTGTGGTAGATCACTGGTAGATCAGTGGCTCCCCCCAAAGAAGCTCAACAACTTTGACCTGAACCCCCCAAAACAGGGATTTCCCTCCTAAAAAAAGTTCAGTAACTTTGACCTGAACCCCTAAAAAATGGGCCTTCCTCCTCCCTTAAAAAGGGCTCAACAACTTTGACCTGAACCCCCCACTGGGGGGCAGATCACCGCCAGTTTTTAACTCTGTTAGTAGATCACAGTCTCTTTGGAGTTGGCAACCCCTGATATATGGGAACTATATCTTATCAAAATGATCATGCTTAGTTTAGCATCTTAACAACGTCCATGTTACATTAGATGTTTGGAAAGAGCCAGATGCCAAACTTTCCCTTGCCAATCCCTGAATGTGCAGTGGTAAAACAGCATTGCAGTTACATCCTTACATATAAGGGGAGGGTCTAGAATAGTGTGTGGTGACAGAAGGGCCAGAGCTGGGTTATTACTGGAAACAACATAAAAAATGCTTTGCTCCAAACCCAAGGTTTTAAACAGGAAAGAGTGCATCTATGTGCCCTTTTCTGTGTAAATGTACAATACACACTATTTGTGTTATTTAACCTGAGGTTGGAGTATTCTTTGTTGTTTTTGACATGCCCGTAGCCAACAAGTGCTCCGTCGGTCAAGGACAAGTCTTTCAGTATGTGAATTCAGTGGCTTTTCAGTGGAGATTGAAAAGGTTCATTCCCTGAGACAATAAAATAGTTTTTCTTAGACTGGGTTCTTGTGTTACCTTGGTGGTATGAGAACCACAGCCGCACTGATCTTACCTTCGCTAACAATGTAATGCAAGTCATTATGGGCAATACTGACAAGGTAACATAATAATGCAGTGTCTTAGTCTTCTTATGTAAGCCTTCTTTTATTTCTGCATTAAATGCTAGGATGGCTTAGTAGTATTTTACCTTTAAAAAAAAAGTTTCAGGTTTGGTTTAGGTGGTTGTTGAAAGAAAGAAAAGACCAAAGAGCAGGGGAAAAACGGTGAACTAGCATACTCTGATAGCAAAGCATTCTGCAAATAATAAACCATGCATTTAAATCACACAACTTACCCCCAAATAATCTTGCAAGCTGTATTTTAATGGCATTGTACCTCTGTGAGGTTTAAACTATAGTTCCCAGGATTATTTGAGGAAGACCATGGGCTTTAAATGTAGGGAGTGCATGCAGCCCAAACTGGGTCAGAAACACCGTTAATACTGCAAATCTCAGTTGCAGAGTGATTTTTAAAAATGGAATAGGATTCCAGATGTGGTGATCAACTTCTTCTGTATATTTATGTACCTTCATCTCAAAAGAGCATTTGAGCCTGGTGGGAATATGTTCCTGATCTCATTAGCCATGTTTAGACACTTAAGAGCAAACAATACATTTAGTCTACAGGTGGAGACTCTTAGGGTCACCAGCTTAAAAAGTCATGTCAGGGACCCCAGTTTAGTCCACGAGGCCATTTCTCTCAAGCCCCACACCTGAGATCATATGATGTCGGATGTCAGACAGCTATATTCCTGGCTGCAAAGGGACAGTCAGGGGTGTGACAGTGTGCTTCTGATTGTTCCTCATCAACTACGGCTTGTATTCAGCACCTTTTCAGTTTGGGCACTAAATACAAGCCTTGTTGGGATGGGTTCGCCCGATAGCAGTTGAGTTCAGCCAGCTTGCTTTTGGCACTCAATTCTGGATCGGGTCAGCAGACCTTTGCACCTTTTAATGTGCTCCTTCCCTTTTCCACTTCCATGATTTGCTCCAATCACAACACGGGTTTTCTTTGTAACGGATTTAAATTGAGTTTCCAGACTCTGGTGACAAGGGTAACCTAGGTTCTTGACATCGACCATAGTTGTTTATAGCCGCCCCTGTTACTTCTATCCCACTGTTCTTCCAACCTAGATTCTTGACATCGACCATAGTTGTGTATAGCAGCTGCTGTTACTTCTATCCCACCAGCATGCCCTCCCCTTTCATTTTGCCCCCCTCCCAAACAACCCTGTTATGTAGTTTAGACTATGAGATAGTGACAGGCCCAAGATCACCCAGTCAGTTCCATGGCTGGGTAGGCATTTGGATCTCCCTAACCCTAGTGGAGTGCTCTAACTGCTACACCATGCTGACTTAGTTTTAGCAATGCAGGATGCAAGGCAGCACTGTGGTAAAAGGAAACAATGGAAAGTGAGTGAAAGGGGTCTCAAAGGAGAGGGGAGAAAGGTATGGTGGAAGGATCATCAACCAGTGCTAGGACATGGTGCACTGACTCAGTTGTTACTTGAGTTTGACTTAGACTAATCACTTTCCCTGTCATTATCTGTAATAAGTGGTGTGTTGTCCCCCCGCCCCCAATTTTTTTATTGGTTTTCCACATTTATGACAAAAAATACATTACCAAACACACAACAAAGAAAAACACTTTACAATACAATAAACTAAACAGAAAAAAAATATTTCTTCAGATATCTTACTCTCATAGCATTAATAACTGACTTCCTCGCATCCCCTCTAACTGAATTTCATTATATCACCTGTATGACAGTTCTCCAAATTTATATTTCTAATAAAATTGACTCCTAACATTTACTAAGTCCTTCTCCTTTATTAATATGTAATAAGTGGTGTGTTGGGTTAAAAATACATTTTGAGATTTCTTTGAATTCTGCCGTTCAGATGATAGAATGGAATAGCTTGCAAGACGAGAGGGGACTGCTTTCAATAAGCAGTTACTTTTGCACTCTTTCTCCCCGTTCACAATTTTTTTGTGGGGTGTGTGTGTGGAATGTGCAGTCACATAGCAAAGAAAAACATAACCTGGAGGTATGCTCCCTCCTACCCCTTCTCTGAATATAGGACTCTGTTTCGAACATGAGAGGAGACATTTTAATAGTTCTGTTGGGTTGCTATGTGTGGAATGTAATAGTTCATGCATCAAAGACTCTGAAATGGATCCAGGTGCATGACCGGCCGTTGCTTTTTCTAAAACGAAGTACTGTGAGCAAGAAGTTGGGAGCGACAGAACAGCATAAAAAATGAGCAAGTGGAAATTTAAACAGCCCGTGCTTTAATCTTAAAAACTTGCTTACTTCTGTCAGCCTGTGTACCTGTCAGTCTTAAGCTTTTGTAGTACAAAGCTGTCTTGTGGTTGCATGGGGGCTAATTCAACCTTTTGTTCATTGTCGTGTTTAGCTTTCATTTAGAATTTTGTCTTTGCTCTTTATCCTGGATAAAAAAAGAAATACTTTTTTTTAAAAAATGCACCCAGATCCTTCCCAGAGTACAAGGACTGAAAATGTGCTGGTTTAGCCTCAGACACCAAAAGCCAGCCCATGCAAAAAGAGCTTGCTCTTGGACAGTCTTCCCTGCACCCAATTGGTGACCTCCAAAGGTTGTGGGACTTCCAACTCCCAGCATCCCCAGCCAACATAGTCAGTAGTCAGAGACGGTGAGAGCTATAGTTCGGCAACATTCGGAGCAGCAGCAGATAGCATGATGAGGCAGTGGCACTCACCTGACTTCCTTACATCACTGCTGCTTACTACGAGGCAGAGGAGGAGACGCTGTCAAGGTCAGCATGGTGCGAACACACCATCAAGATACCTGGGTTGGCTCCCACCATTCCTTTGCATCCAGCCAGTCCCTGACACATGGCCACTTCTGACCATGGGTACCCTGCACATTTCCGCATATTTTAATGAAGTATTAAATGTCTTATTTATTGGGGAAATATTCTAGAAGGCTATATGAAGCAGGGTGCTTTACTTCAGAGTAAAAAGTAGGATCTGGTGCTGAGATTTGTGTTTAAACTTGCTTAAAATACACCAGCTACCTATGTTGTCTGTGTGCTTGAAAACATGAGTTTTCAAAAAAAATAAATTGTTTAGAAATACTGCTAGTTTCTTGGTCTTTTGTCTTGGAATGGCAGTCTGTGTGAGGTTACACACTTGAAAAGAAAATCTGCATAATTGGCCAATAAAATCATCCCATGTGATAATTAAAAACAATCCAATAAACACTTAAACAGAAGCAGTATGCAGGAGGCTGGATGTAGCAATAGACTGGACGAGGGCCAATAAACTGAGACTCAGTGCAGACAACTGCTGGCGTGTAGTACTCTTGGTGGATGTTTCAATGTCCCAGCCAAATGTCATTCTGTCAGTTCCGGAGGGAACTGTTCACACCATAAAGCAGGGGTGGCCACCTCCCAAAAGACTGTGATCTACTCACAGAGTTAAAGACTGGCAGTGATCTACCCCATTTTTTTGGGGGGGGGGGTTTCAGATCAAAGTTGTTGAGCTTCTTTGGGGGGGGGGCACTGATATACCAGTGATCTACCACAGAACGTCCACTGATCTACTGGTAGATGACGATCTACCTGTTGGACATGCCTGCCATAAAGGACCAGCGTCACAGTTTTGGGATACTCATTGACCCAAGGTATTCTGTCTGCTTGCTAATGTGGCTGTTACATTTTTGCGTCTTGCTTTGGACTTGTTTGCATGTTGTTTTGTGAGGGCATAACTCTTTAGGCAACTGGAAATTAATTCAGTAAATGAACTGATAACATAGTCCATGGAGCAAGACCTCATCTAATGATCTAATGGCGCTAGGGTGTTAACTGAGATTTCCAGAAGCTTTGGGCCTGATATAGCTTGATTCTGTAGCTTTGCAGAGGCGGGCACATACCCCCAGAGCCAACTCTGCAATGTGGCACAGAGCGAAGCAACCTAGCTCTAGTGGCGCCTGGAGCTAGAGAGATAGATGAAGGCAAGAACTGTTTTCGAAGTGCAAAAATATCCCTCCTGCATCAACCCAAAGGCTCATCTACTCCAGCATCTTGTTCTCTTGATGGCCAGCCAGATGCAAGCAGGACCTGAATCCAACAGCACTCTCCCCGCCTTCGATTCCCAACATTGGTCGCCATTGAATGCCTCACCTTCCTGCATGAATTTGACTAATCCTCTTTTAAAGCTATCCAAGTTGGCGGACATCTTCTGGACTGTAGTGGGATGTGGTGAATGGCGCAGCAAGTTTTTTATGAAATGTTGGGCCTGGGAGTGGATGGGCACCTTTTCGGTTCCTCTTCAGTCAGCAAAATGTCTTAGGCTACAACTTGCATGCGCCAGGCACCTTCTACTGAAGCCCTTCAAGGGACCTTCTGTAGCAAGATGGACCCTTTGGAACAAAGGACTGAAATCAGAAAGCAAAACGCACAAACATCTTTATTCGTGCTCAGTAAACAGATTTACTCACTCACACAACTCTACAGATCCTGACCACAAGTTTTACACGGTTCCCCTCCTTAGCACGTGGCCTTGCAGAATGTGCAAGTACTTTCATGTTGCAAAACCGCAGTCCTGCCTTGGCAACACCATTATTGCACCTAAACTATGTATGCCCTAACTCGAGTTCTTCCTGCCTGAGAAAAACAACAACTAATATTAGCCCACAATGAAAATCTGCCAGGGAAGTAAGTAAAGGTTTTGATCATCAACAGGAGAAAAGATTTGTCTTACCACTTTTATGGGGTTAAAAAGCATAAGGCAGCCTTGTATTGGGAGGTTTCTAATGCTTGATGATTGTATTATATTTTTAGATATACTGTAAGCCGCACAGAGTGGCTGTATAGCTGGGGTGTAAATAATAAAATTATTATTATTATTATTATTATTATTATTATTATGGGATGGTATATTTTGTGTAAGAGTTAATTGTGATGTTACAATGCAGTCTTGCATCATGTGGGTACTGATATTATGTGTGCAGTGCAATGCAGTGTAATTATAAAAATATTTTACTAGTTTTCTTTTATAAAAATCTTGTTGAAGCTTTTGAGTGGAATTCATTGTGTTCTATGAAGCCACTTGGTCACTGTTCTAGAAGGATTATTGGGGATGGGAGGAATTGCCTTAGGCAATAGATGGTATATTGGAGGAAATAGATGCTGTATTTCCTGCAGGTAATATTAGATTGTAAACCTTTTTGTTTGTGTCTGCATGCCTCTGGGCGTTGTATGGTAAGCTCGTCTGTCTCGTGTTTTCTTCCCTGATCTAATGCACCCTGCCTATTATCCCCCGCTTTTTTGACCTGTGTACAGTCTGAATGATGCAAATCATAAGTGCTTCTATTGCAGCCTGATTCTCAACAAGACAAAAGTCCAACTGACTTTAAGTAGGACTTGTTTCCTAGCAATTATGTTTAGAATTGCAATCAAAATACTGAGCTGAAATTATTTAGGAGAAAGTGCCATTGAACACAGAGGGACTTATTAAGTAAACCTCTAAAGCAGGATTTCCCAAACTTGGGTCTTCATCTGTTTTTTGTCTAGAATTCCCATCATCTCTGACCACTGGTCCTGCTAGCTAGGGATGATGGGAGTTGTAGTCCAAAAACAGCTGGAGACCCATGTTTGGGAAACCCTGCTCTCTAGCATCTGGATGCAAGGCTCAGTCCCACTAAACTTGGTGGGGCTTGCTTCTTAGTAAACATTCTCAGGATTGGGCTATGTGTTGGGTACAACTGGGGCAAAATGGGGGGTTGGAATTATGAGTAGTAAGAAGTGATGGGTCTTCTGCAGGTGAGGCCAAACTTAAAAGTGGTGTGAAATAAATGTGTGCGTTTAGTCCTTCTGCACATTGCCAGAATCAGAAATGCATTGCGTTGCCATCCTCTCCATATAGCATTAGTACACTAGGAATCCAGAGACAGGGTGTATGGCAAGCTGGTATTCCAATGCTGCAGATGTAATGTGATGCTGGTTACATATTACTCCCCCCCACCATGAGCATGTTTTGTGTGTCCAACATAACCTTTCCTTTAAAAAAAAAAAAGAACTTGAGAAATGTTGTTCCTGGGCCAACATATAGTTCTGCTACAGAAACCTTAATAGGGCTTAATAGATGAAAAATGCATCACAGTATGTGAGCTGAGTCTAGCTTCAGTTGTCTGTGTTTATGGAGACTGAACTTCCTGTAACATTAGAGAATCCAGTCCACATGTTGTGTATTCCAGTTCTCTAGAATCCGGATCAGTACCACCAGTCTAGGTTTACACAAAGCTCAGAAACTGTAGAGATCAGGGCCCTGAGGAAGCTGCAAGGGAATCGATTTCTGGTGGACTTTTCTCATGGTGAAATACAGTGGTGCCTCGCAAGACGAAATTAATCCGTTCCGCGAGTATCTTCGTCTAGCGGTTTTTTCATCTTGCGAAGCAACCCTATTAGCGGCTTAGCGCTATTAGCGGTTTAGCGGCTGTTAAAGGCTTAGCGGCTTAGCGGCTTAGCTGCTAAAAGGCTATTAGCGGCTTAGCGGCTTAGAAAAAGGGGGGGGAGCGAAAAAAAAATCTCAAGACTCGCAAGACATTTTCGCCTTGCGAAGCAAGCCCATAGGGAAATTCGTCCTGCGAAGCAACTCAAAAACGGAAAACCCTTTCGTCTAGCGGGTTTTCCGTCTTGCGAGGCATTCGTCTTGCGGGGCACCACTGTATGTGTTTGAATCTGTTCTGAACGAGGTGTTTTGGTCACCAGCCTTTGCGCAGAGTATGTCTTAGGTACCCCTCCCAATTTGGATCAGTGACGTATCACTTTTACTGTAGCCCTGTGCTGGTGTTCTCTTGTTTGATTTGAGTTGATTCAATATGTGTATTCCTGTTTTCCAACAACAAATGTTGAGCTGAAAGCAGCTCACAATAGCATGAAAAACAATACCAAACACAAGAGCCTATAAAGCAAACAACAACAGATTCATCAAAACAATTACTACAATTCAATATTAAGTCATAGCAACTGATGGTATTGTCAGGATACTACATAATCCCATGGGACCTTATTCCAGTTGTGGGTTATCAAATGTGTTCTTCACCATTAGGTTGTAGTTGTGAGAGGGGAAGAATGGGGATACATTTGCAAGCCACACCTTTTCTGAAGTTGTTCTCCATGTTTTGGAGAGCTTCTACAAGCATAGCACTTTCTCTGCCGCAGCACCTCGGAATATGTGACAACAGGGTGTTTGAGCTGGCTCACATATCCTCTCCTCCTCCCCCCTCAAGCTTGCATGATGAAAAAGATGCCTTAAAGAGGGACTTGGTATGATGTTAATTGCACTGAATTGTGCAGAACTTTCAGGCAGAAGTGATTGTGAGTTATGAACAAAAGGAGAGCACTACACATTTCAAGGGGTGGCGCTGTGGGTTAAACCTCAGAGTCTAGGACTTGCTGATCAGAAGGTCGGCACTTTGAATCCCCGTGATGGGATGAGCTCCCGTTGCTCGGTCCCTGCTGCTGCCCACCTAGCAGTTTGAAAGCATGTCAAGTGCAAGTAGATAAATGGGTACCGCTCCGGCGGGAAGGTAAATGGCGTTTCCGTGCGCTGCTCTGGTTCACCAGAAGCGGCTTAGTCATGCTGGCCACATGACCTGGAAGCTGTCTGTGGATAAATGCAGGCTCCCTCGGCCTATAGAGCGAGATGAGGGCCGCAACCCCAGAGTTGGCCACGACTGGACCCTTTACCCTTTTTACACATTTCAAACCCACACATTATGTTTGCTAATAAGTCATGGTGAAGATGCTGTAAGGCTGTTAAAGGGTGCTTATGCATGTCTGTGTATTTGTGGTTTTTGTCTGAACCACATCCATGAGTTAAGTGTTTGAACACTTGTGGGCACAGCAGGATGGGGCAGTAAATAATGCCTGCGAAATCATTATTTTAAGTACAGAGTATGATCTGCATGAACATTTTAAATTAAGGCTGAACGATTCAATCAGTTTCTGCATATATCTGAGAATACATTTTTTTAAAATTCCCATGGACATTTGCATTTAAATGGACAGTTGAGTACTTACTTCTAAAGCATTTTTTTCTTTTTAAAAAAGTATTTTAAAATGCATTTTTGATGCACGTTTAAATCCAATAACAGTTTTTGAACATGTGGGAGGTGAGAGTATCAATTGATAGTGCAAATGCCAACCCACACAAATGTATTTAAATGCAAAACTACCCAATTCACACTGTCCAAAACAAAATGAGAACTGAAACACAGGATCCTTCAAAATTTGCACTTCCCTGAATTTTGCAATGTAGTTCCCCAGCCAGCAGTGTGTACAAAATTCATATACTAGGGTATGTGCATAAAAATGTATATGTTAGTGAAAATAACATTAAAATGCATTGTATTTAGGGAAATCACTTTGCAACAATGGGTTTATTAGGCAAGATTGTATAGCAACATGTGCATATCAGGATATATTTGCTGATGGATTTTCATGAGGACTTTTTTCTTTAAAATAACAATCACAAACTGATTTGGAAATGTGGAGAACTGAATTTAGGAATGCAGGAGTTGGGTCAATAAGAAATTGAGAGGAAGCAAAATGGACAGATTCACCCATCCCTATCTTTGGCCATGCTGGGTGGGACAGAGGCCATAATCTCTGGGAGACATCAGGTTGGGCTATGTTGATATGGACAATACTGAACTAGATGAGCTACTGATAGGACTCTGTGCAAGGCAGCCTCCCTTATGGGTTAACTGAGTCTTGCCATCTGGATCTGTAGAGGTTGTGCCCTGGAAAATCATTATATTACTTTAAGTGCACATTCGAGGAAATGAGGGAAATGTTTCAGCCTAGTATTGAAGAATGACTGATTGCCTTCTTCTAATCATGGAGTATTTTTCAGCTTGCACAAAACATTGCTGATGATGATTAATATGACTTAGATGTTAAGAGTCCATGCCTCTCTCCAGCTGAACCCTTAAATTCTCAAGCCCTATGTAGGTCTTGCAGTCTGCCATGGTCTCAAAACAGTAGTTAGAAGGACATTTTGCTGGCTTTTGAGAAGAACTGGTAGCAGCAAGTTGTTAAACCAAATTAGTTCCAAGAAGAAATGGGATTTGGCCTTCCTGCAAATTTCCTTAGAAACTTTTGTGTTTTCTAAAGTGTTTTTAGGACACTGGAACAATAAACCAAAGTTGAATCATGTGCTGGATTTCATTGTTGGCAGCTGAAGGGTTTGGTTGCTTTTGAATGCTTCTGGTTGGGGGTACTGCAGAATGAAAGGCTTTATGATAAAGAACTAGGGATGTCCTATAATAAATAGATGGCTAATTCTAAAATACGTTAGGCTCCAAGTTGGCTTTTATTAATTATTCTGAAAGACAAGGCAATGCAAAGCAAAGCAAAATATTTTGTATGAGTTATCTGTTTCATTATACATTTGTTGCCATGCAGACACCTATGACTCTGCTTTTGGGGGATGTTTAGAGGGGGGGCTGCTGTTCTAGAGGGGGGGACATCGGGGTTGCTGGCTTTGCCTTGGACTGTATAACTCTACACTGCCACAGAGTGGTGATTTGTCAAAGGCCCCATTGCAATGGAACCACGGAATGGGTTGGGCATGGGGGGAAGGGGTGAAACTGGTGGCCCAAGGAGAGCAAAGAGACATTTGATGGTTTACAATTGATATGGAAGAACACTCCTCACTCTTGGGAAATCTTGCCTCACTGCTTGGTGTTGAATTATTACTATTATTTCATTTACTAATCGCTCACTGTGAGGCATTCAGAAGCGATACACACTATAATACTATGGAAAGCAGTTACAGAGATGAAATCAGTTAAAACAGTATCGAAAACAACAACAGCATGAAGTCAGTTCAAATCCAGTGCGGATACCAACTGAGATATAGGTCTCTGTTTAGAAGGCTTGTTGAAAGAAGAATGCCTATATGGTTTACAGTGGGAGGGAGTTCTGAAGGATAAGTGTTTCCACACTGAAGGCCCAATTCTGGTGTTGTGCAGAATGGACCTCTTGATATGATATCAAATGGAGGATTCCCTCTTCCGCAGAATGCAGTGATCAGTTGGGTTCGGTTTTTTTAGGTATCCTAATCCCAAGCTATACAAGGCTTGAACCTAGCCCCAGGTTGTTTCAAACCTAAAATTCAGGTGACAATGCATGTCTTGTTGAATGATGCAGTTTCGTTGATCCAATTTTCAGTGATGTTGGAAAGTTTTGAGAAAATAGTGGAATCTAGTGTTTTGTTTTGTTAAACAATTTTAAATAATGGTGGTTTAGATAATTGGGTTTTTTTAATTATTTTGAATTTTCATGATGATTGTGTGAGATTGTATGCTGCTTTTATGACATGTTTCAGTTAAGTTTTGATCCATTCCTGCTTAGGCAGTATATAATTTCCCACTGTGATGAATGATAAGCAATTTAAAGCTTTATTTGTTTGTTTAATGCCTTTGTACTCCACCTTTTGGGGCACATTGCCCTTGCAAGACGGCTTACTATTTATTATTATTAAATCATATAAAACATCACAACACAGCAATACTTTTAAGTACCGTTTCAAAGTTAAACCTTAGCAGCTGTGAACAATTTTCCAGCCCAGCAAATTAATTAGCTACAGATCAGAACAAAAATATAATTCAAAATTAAAAGCCCGTAGCCGTTTTTTCTCCCCAGCACAGCAAATTAATTAAATGTGGAGTCACAATATTTTCAAAGTTCTTTTAAAAACCAGCAATGCTAAAGCCATATGTGCCTCCCTGGGGAGGGAGTTCCATGTGACAGAAATAGTCATAGCATTTAATTTGATTTTGGGTAGTTTTAGCCAACCCTTAAATACATGCCCATGTCCATTTTTGACTCTCATAAGTGGCATTATGCTTTGACTATATGTCTGCGCTGTACATTCTCTGTTGACTTTGAGGATTTCTCCAGGCAAGGCTTTGAGTTCCAAGATGGAGGCCAAGTTTCATCAAAACCAATTGCATCTTACTCAATGACTACTAATGTCGATAGCCATGCTCTACCTCCACTGCTTCGGAATTCCAGTTGCTGGAAACCACAGGAGGGGAAAGTGCTGCTGAGCTCATGTCCTGCATGTGGGCTTTCCAGAGGCACCTGGTTGGCCATTGTAAGAAAAGGATGCTGGACTAGATGGGCCCAACTCTTAGGAAGTTCCTAATGCCCATCTCTAACAAGATTTTACTGTGCAGTTCCATTTCTGCAAAACTGGACGAATCTATGCAGTAAACATAACGTTGTTGTTGTTGTTTAGTCGTTTAGTTCGTGTCTGACTCTTTTTGACCCCATGGACCAGAGCATGCCAGGCACTCCTGTCTTCCACTGCCTCCCACAGTTTGGTCAATCTCATGTTGGTAGCTTCGAGAACACTGTCCAACCATCTCGTCCTCTGTCGTCCTCTTCTCCTTGTGCACTCCCATCTTTCCCAACATCAGGATCTTTTCCAGGGAGTCTTCTCTTCTCATGAGAAGAGCCTCAGCTTCAGGATCTGTCCTTCCAGTGAGCACTCAGGGCTGATTTCCTTCAGAATGGATAGGTTTGATCTTCTTGCAGTCCATGGAACTCTCAAGAGTCTCCTCCAGCACCATAATTCAAAAGCATCAATTCTTCGGCGATCAGCCTTCTTTATGGTCCAGCTCTCACTTCCATAAAAAACATAACGTTACTAAGAACAAATAGTTGCGATTTTCTCCTGCCTCACCGATGGAATTCTGTGGTTTGAATTTTAGCACATGATCTATTCAGGGATTCATCTTATGCTGAATGAGGTTTGTTTTTTAAAAAAACTAACTTGTTCAACAAACTAGAACATATATTGAACAAGACTCACATGGATTTGAGGTTACCTCAAATTCGCTTTGTGGTTATGCTGAATCTACCCTAGTTCAAATGACATACATATTAATAAGAAACTACTCAAAGGAAACTTTTGTGCCATTTATGATCAGTCACCCTATAATAAATTTGTGGCAGTGGGACAATGATGTGATGGACAAAAATGGCCAGTTGTCCATCATGTTGCCGGCTTGTGCTGAGATCATGGATGTGGTTTGTCTGGTGATCATGGAATTTATATTGGCATATTACAGTCTGTGCAGCTCTCCCCATTTATGAATGTTGGGGAGCAGATATGGCTATCAAGGTGCGGACCCCAGGGATAACAGACAATCCTAATAATTGCACATTGCATTAAGCTGCTGCATCCTGCTGCTGAGCAGACTTCAGCATGCAAAAGTGCCCTTACAGGCAATGTAAACCTTGGAACTGTCCTAAATCCTAAATATAAACAGCAAATATTTTAGGAACTGACACATGGAATGATGTTGGAGACAGAGAAGATTGTGTTGTACAGAAGGCAGCTGTTGTGTTGGTTCTTATCTGCAGCTGAAGAGGGGTCTCTAAGGTGCTTGATTTCATGTCTGCAAACTCGACCCGTTTTTTTCTTTTTCTTTGAAAAGGGATACAAGGGAAGTAATGAAAATGATACCATAAATCAGACAATTGCCATTGAGTCATTGTTGACTCAAAGACATCTTGCTTTGGGACCCATTTGGATCCCTTGAAATCCTTACTCAAGAGTGATTTCTTCATTGTGTTTTGACTTTTTATTATGGAGATACAGCTGTTCTGTTCCCTGCCTAGAAACAATGACCCAAAAAAAGAAGAAAAAAGGATTGCTTCGTAGATCAACCAGTGAATATGAACCCAGCTCTGCACAAGTTACTTCTTTGGGTTGTTGCCCATCTTTGCCAAACAGCGCTACAGACACACTGAAAACATTTGCAGGCATTTGGTGTGATCCAGATGGACTCCCATCTAATTAAACTTGTTTTCCATGGTGGCCAGCCAGAAGCCTCCATGGAAAACCCACAGGCACAAAATTCGGGGAATGCTTATTTATTTTAAAAATATTTATAGTCCACTTTTCTGCTTGAAAACAGGCCTCCAACATGGTTAGCCATAAGTGAAAATGAATACAGTATGATCGCATCTTACACACATTTAACTTGTGAGGTTTCAACCATGCATGGTTGAAGTCTGGCTGATTAAAATTCTGCAAGTTAAATGCAAGTAAGGTGGGCAGCTTAAATGTTATCTTCATGTGGGATTTTGCAGTGCAGAAAGAGCTTTCAGGCTCTCTGTATTGCTTTGGGGGCAAGTCCCGCTGAGTGCGTGGGCTGTGAAATACTCCTGTGAGATCTCACAGGGCCATCCAAGTTCCCATGAGCACTCCATGACTCCCAGAGCCAGTGGGTTGAGTGGGGCTTGCCTGGTAAGCAAGGCAAAGAGCTTAAAAGCTCTCTTCCCTGCTTGTGGGGCCAAGGCCCTTTTGGTGTGCTGGCTCCAGAAGACTAGAGATGCTTGCATGTGGCCAGTTCCATGGGGGCAGCTTGAGTATGCATATTTTCAGGTGTACACAGATCCCTTGGAACTGAACGCCTGCGTAAGAGATGGTTTGTACTGCATATTGCACATAAAATTCAGTGTTGACTTACAAAATCTCTGCAGGGGCAATGAAGGAAATTGTACTCTCTCCTGGAAGTTGCTACTGTTTTGACTTTTTCAGTTGCTGGTCTTCAAAAGTTCCAAAAAAATGTGTTCTACTTAGCAAAATAGTGTTGCACCAAGTGCTTTAGTCCCTGGGTGACAATCTCCCCTTTGCTTCCCAGGAATTGGTATTCAAAAGCATGCAACATCTGAAGCTGGAGATAGCATATGACTAGTGAGTCACTGCTACCCTATTGCTCCATGAATTTATCCAACAATATTTTAAAGCCAAAGCTGTCTTCAAGATTCACAGGTCCTTGAGATGGCCCTGTTCAACCTTCCCTTGATAGAGTGCCTTCCTTCCTTCCTTCTATCCTCCCTCCCTCCCTTCTTTTTCAAAACGTTGATAAGCATATAGCAGTGGTCATCAACCTCTTCAGATATGGGACTCTACCAGCAGCTGAAAAGGCAGCACACCAGAGGCTCCCCAATGCTATTTTACAGGGTCAAGTTTTTGTGATGAGAACACTAAAGACCATTTGCTGCCTTTTGCAATGATCAGTTCATTAGAAATGAACAGGTTGAGTCCATCAGGAGGAAGCAAGCATGCAGGTGGTACTAGCAACACCAGTCCTACTCCTCAGTATATTTCTGAGCTGAAGCTACTTCTGGCAGCCAGTAACCACTCAGCAACTTCTTCCAGCAAGCTTCAAACTCAAGCCTGTGTTCCTTTATTTTCTTTTTTTCCTGGCCAAGCTCAGGACTGTAAGAAATTGTTCCTTCTGCCCCCAGGCAAGTAAGGTGTGACATAAATTCTAATGCCTTCGTTATCACAGGATATCAGAAGCTATTAATCAGGACCACATTGTGCTCCATAACCTGCCAAGCTCTACAAACACTTAACAGAGGAAAGCAGGGCTGTTTTGCATAGCCAAATAATATGCTTTCAGCAATACATTAAACTTTCTAGGGATTAAATTACAGCTTGGAGTTAGACCCAATTTCTTCTCTTGTGCTGCCTGGTGGGCTGTTTATCTCCCCCACCCAACCACCTGCACCTGAATTGCAGTGCTAACAAAGATTTCACATATCTTCTTTTTTTCTAGTTGCAGTCCACAACAATAGCAAATGCGTTTCATTCGAATGCATGTGCAATCCCCTTCCCTCCCTTTCGAACCAGCAGAAATTAGCCCTGGCTGTTTACACATCAAGCCCTTAGGAGGTTAATGTACCACATAAATACTGCATTTATCACAATTTTGCCTCCTGTCTGGTAATAAGTGTGAAATATCTTCCTTCAGGAGTTGCAGTCATTCCCCATCCCCCGTTGTGTACACAGCCAGATGCCACCTCTCTATCCAATTTTACTTCTGTAAAATATTTCAAGGTGAGCTTTTTGGGAGAGGAGTGGTGAGTCTTGATAGTTCAGCCCATCCATTTCCTTCATTTATAAAGAATTGCTCCCAAGCTTTAAGTTTTGTGATGTGTATTCAGTGTTCGCAATAAGCTAAAGAAGATAGGACTCTCACAGAGAAGGTATGGAACTTGTTCCTCTAGCTAATGGCCATCTTGATTATTTGAAAGTGCCAGCTGGCGGCCTGCTTTTTCTTGTTACTCCTTTCCCATTATTTTGTCTTGGACTAATCTAGTTTTGACACCAGATTCTTTGAGCCCTCCTCCTTGTTTCTGATACTTTAATCAGCAAGCATGCTGTGATTCCTTCTCTGTCCTGAGCAAAGTAATCTGGTGTCTGTAACTTGATCTGGTGGGCCTTTAACTCTTTTTAATCTTTCATCTATTGGATTGAATTTGTTGGAACTTGGGACTAAACTGGCTTCTCCATAGTCACATTCTCATGTAACAATAAAACAAAGCTTTTGGATTATTGTGGTTTACCATGCCTGAGTATGGTGCTAGTTCAACTTCCCAATTGCTTGGCTTCTCTGTTGTATCCGAATCGGTCATTGTTGATTTGCTGTTTTCTAACAAACTATCATTTCTAGCCAACGTTAGGCAAGGATTTGTTGTTGGTTTATGGGCCAGGGCTTGTTTGGAAGAAAACAACAACAATCCTTGGCTCAGACATAATGTGTAGCCAAGGTTTCCTTGTTTGTTAATTCTGCTAGTGGCAGGGAGGAGTGAAGTGGAAGTGAACAACCTCCATGCAGCTCATTCATGGTCAACCATGACAGTGAGCCAGAATCATGCAAATGTGGCCTGTATGTTAACCTGCTTTTTGTAAATTCTATAACAGAGCTCAGTGAAAGCCCTGGAGCTTTGACTGCCTAGTTTCACAGTCCTACATCATTTCACTGGACCTAGGATTGTTCTGTGCACTGCCAATCCCCTCCCAATAACAGCAACCTTTATGTTAACATCATTAAAAAACAACAACACAATTTAGTGCTGATGACTTCGAGGTTGAATCTGAATTCGTATCTTCTGCCACTTGTTTGACATCGTCCAAGAGGTGGTGTCAGGTTTAGAAATAGCATCACATCCTTTAATAGACAATTATATTGTGGTTTCTTCAATTTCCAGTTTCCACTGGTAGGAATTAATGTGATGGCATTTTGCAAAACAAAAAAGTGAAGGAAGTGTTCCTGTTCTCACTTTCCTCTGTGCTTTTTACTTACCACCTTGTTGCTTTGATTAGGAATGTGGGAAGCTAACTTATAGAAAGTCAGATAATTGGTCCGTTTATCTTAGTATCATCTATACGATTTCCCCAACCTGGCACTTTCCAGGTATTTTGGGCCCCTTCTCCTATCGTATCAGCCCCAGCCAATGTGTCCAACAGTCAGGGATGATGTCAATGCACCAGGACATGCACTGACTGGCCAGCTCTCCAAGTGTGTTTCCTAGCTCTTTCTGGACATGCCTGGAATTGAATTCAGGATGTTTTCGCTGGTGCTCTCCCACTGAGCTATGCCTCCTCCAGAATTGCAATGCCTTCCTAACCATGTCTACTCAGAAGTACTCTTGAATTCAGAGGAAGCTAGGAAGCAGCCTTCTACTGAGTCAGAACTTTGGTCCTGCTGGCTCAGTATTGTCTACATTGATTAGCAGCTCTCTGGGGCATTCAGTCTTTCCCAACCCTACCTGGAGATGCTGGGGATTGAACCCGGGACCTTCTGCATGGAAACCAGATGCCTTTCCACTGAGCTCCACCTTTAGGTAAAGGTAAAGGGACCCCTGACCATTAGGTCCAGTCGTGATCGACTCTGGGGTTGCGGCGCTCATCTCGCTTTATTGGCTGAGGGAGCCAATGTGGCTTCCGGGTCATGTGGCCAGCATGACTAAGCCGCTTCTGGTGTACCAGAGCAGCGCACGGAAACACCATTTACCTTCCCGCCGGAGTGGTACCTACTTATCTACTTGCACTTTGACGTGCTTTTGAACTGCTAGGTGGGCAGAAGCAGGGACCGAGCAATGGGAGCTCACCCCGTCGTGGGGATTTGAACCGCCGACCTTCTGATCGGCAAGTCCTAGGCTCTGTGGTTTAACCCACAGCGCCACCCGCGTCTCCTGATCTCCACCTTTACTCACAGATAAATGCAGTTAGGATTGCAGCCTAAGACTTGACAATCAGCTTAATTTTCAAATAATGCTAGAGTTTGTGTTTAATGAAAACTGTTCCAGAAATGATTTTTCTCTTACAAGCCTAACTTGGACACCAAGCTTTAAATATATGCACAGATCGAATGTTGCCAGCCGGCTTCTGTTTAAGCAGCTGAGTTTCCACCTGCAGAACTGCGTTCACATCTTTGTGAAAATAATTTGCATGGACTTTCCTCTGCAACAAAGCAGCATTTCCCACCCAAAGCTCATGCTTTATACTACATGACCCTTTTCACTATTCAGCCTTGACACTTGCACTATTAATGAAACTTCCTAAGGACTGGTTACTTTATCAACTCCATTTTTCATATTTGCTGCTTTATTGAACTTTATATTCCCCCCCCCCCCAATGGTCTTCCACTGTTTTGAGATGCTGAATGAACATTCCTCCTGTTTCTTGAAGCATCTTGTCTTTGTTAAAGGATAGTGTTTCTTCATTTCATTAAGCTTATAAGAGTTTCTTAGTACTGAATGAAAAGAATTGTAGGTATTTCAGGAATCCAGGAATAGCTATTTCATAATAAAGGACTTAAAAGGAAGGGTTTTCTCTCTCTTTATACTCTGATCGCCCACTTTCAAAAAACAGAGAGAAAAACCTCCCCCCTTCTAAGATACAGCACGGAGCTCTTACTATTCCGTGCTAACATTTGATATTCTGGTTTTACAAGCTCCAAAGCTTATTGTCTTCACTGAGAGGTTGAAATGGTAGAACTGCATTTTTTTTGGTCTGCCATAACCCTTTGCCGACTTCAGATTAACTTTGGAGAAGTTCAGTTTAACATGAAGTGGTTGCCTTTTTTGTACTGTTGCAAAGTACTGGAATTCTAATTGAAGGTGCATGTTGTGCTATATAAATAAGGTGTAAAATGGGGATGACACTTGCAACTTTATCTAAAACCATAGATAAACCATATAAAATGTTCCTTTAAACAGACTAGCAAGGTTAATGTCTTGCCTTCTTCAAAGTGTGCCAGATAAGAAATTATACAAATAATTGCATCAAAATATGACTGATTTCGCAGAAATCTCTTATGCTGATGTATTGAACCAGAGAGCAGACATTATTATTGGTATTGGTATTAGTATTATTTGTAAACCACCCTATACTCGTAGGTCTCAGGGTGGTTCACAACACAAAGTTACAGTATACAAAGCACAAAATACAGAATAAAAATAATCAAAACATAAAGACAGTAAAACATGGCTTTTCACTTGGCGAGCTAACGCCTTCTCCCGCTCCTATTCCAAGTCATCCTCCAGAGAACTCCACATGTCTTTTCACTGCTGATTCTTGCACCGCCCATATCTTCTGTGACCATCAATTGTCCATTCGGCGAAAGTATCTCATCTCTTAAGTGACCCTTTCCACATTTCCATGCTAGTCTGTTTTTCTTCTCCTCACCCTGGCAGAGGAAGTGCGCTGAGACCTACACATGGAGTTGGTACTTCCAGGAGGCCAGAAAAGACATTTACTATCACTGTCCTCCCTGGCATTTGCCTTTTGCTCCTTTCAGCCTCCTCTGGAAAAGGTTCCCCATCCCTGACTTACAGATACTACAGGGTTATTTTTGTTTGTAGGTACAGAAGTCTCCCTGCTTTAATAATTTTTTTTTTTTAAAAAAAAGCCCATAGGTGTGTATTGGTTCATATGCAGTGGCAAACTATGGCTTGCATTAGGTGCTGGACTGCCATACAAACTATAGTTAGTGCATTCCCTCTTTGCCCCTCACCTTCCCCAAGGATTTCCAGGTGCTGTGCCAACAGTGGCCTCTGAGTGCAGATGAACATCCTACTCTGTGCTTTTAGAGGTGGGATGGAAGTCAAAACCACAATTGGCCAAACTTTACAGTTTACAAACAGTTTACAGTTACAGTTTACAAACTATCTTCAAACATTATTGGTTTCAGATCCTGGTTTGGTAACCTTTCAGAAACCACAGATTTTTCAGTTTATCAAATGGTGTAAGTTCAGACAGTGTGGTTTGGCATTATATCAACGTCGTGAGTAGAAAGGCTACTGATGTTATACAAATCGTTCCCTGCAGTGGCAGAGCACAACTTGTAAACATGGCAAGACATTCAATAAGCAGCGAGTGCTGTTCAAAAGTTGAGGTTTTTGGTTTTGTGCAAATATCTTCATTTGTACTTCTCCAAACTTGTTTTGTCAGTCTTGCAACAACAACAACAACAAAAATCAACAAAAGTTCCTAACCTATAAGATTCCCATTGGCTTGGAGGAAGGGAGTGGGGCAGTGATTGTCACTGATCTCCCTGCAGGCGCCTGAAAATCGGCACTGCAGGGTTGGTGGATTCTTATGAGCAACATGAGAGTAGCACTAAGAGTTGCAGGGAGAGGGAGAAATCAGCCACAAAATAATCACCTCAACTGGAGCTTGGTTCACTTTGGTTCTCTCACAAACATTAATGAAACCAGTTTTATTGAAAACCTAAAATATAAATACTGTATCAAAAAGGGAGGAAATCCCAGAAATCACACTTATTTCAAAGACAACAAATTTCAATACAACTTGAAATGTGATCAAATCTACCCCTTCTTTTCCCATTACATTCGTATCAAAGCAGTCTTGTAAAATAAATAAATTGTTCCATAGGACACAGGAGACAGAATACACTGAAGGGGGAATAATCTTCAATTCAGGGAACAAAGCATTCAAAGAAGGGAAAATCGGGACTGCTCTTAGTAGTACATCGTTAATAGCTCAGTAGTGCAATTTGCTCTTTTATTTTTTAGAAAGGAACTGCAGTGAGAATCTTGTTTCCTGTAAATAGCTGCTTTGGTCCTTCTGTGAGATTATTATTTGTTTTGGGCAGCCTCCTAGCTTAAACAACTTTTTGAAAATAACTTGAATGAACAACCCTGGAGCTCTTGCTACACTAATGCTTTATTTGATTGGAACATTGTCCCTGAGTAGGACATTCATAGCAACAGTCAACAGAGAATACACAAAAAAGTGGTGGGTTGAGAAATGATTCCAGATGTGGGTGATGAGATCCTTTTTTCCATGCTTTGATCCAACGCTAATTGTTAACTAAGTTGGACATCTCTGTGTCTGTCTGTCTCTGTCTCTATCTCTCTCTCTCTCTCTCTCTCTCTGTATGTATGTACTTTCACTGCAGCTCTGTTGAGTGTCAGTGTGCTACACAATTGAATTAGTCACAGCTATTCTGCGTCCGGTCAAACAGCCAGCAATATTATTCGTCTTGGAAGTTCTATTGTTGCATCTAATGGTGCCTTCTCCCCTCAGCAACGTAGGAGCCCATTCCACTTTGTTGGTGAACCACATAATCCGGCACTACTTAACTATAGCATTACATATGAAACAGATTTGTAATTGATGGTTACATGATAGCTAAAATATAATTCTACATTCTGATGGGCTTGTATTTTTAGTTACTTCTTGTGTCAGCACTGGCTACAGAGAGTTTCTATCTTTCCGCCCCCCAGCCTTATGCATTGATCACCAAGGGTGTTACTATGTACTTAAAATACTCAGGTCGCAGGTCTCTGTCGCAAATTTGTTATACATATGGATACAGATTTAGGCCCCTCATCAAAATACGATTGTCAGTGGCTAATGTCCTAATGGCACTCCACACATTTTGCAGCATATCTTGCCGTCCTATAAGCAAAATTCTGTTTTTAAATGTTTTAAAAGGAAGGGGGAAAGCAGGAGGTGTGGCGCCCAATGCAGAAAAACCTAGAAGACATAGTTCCATTTTAAATGTCTGTGTTGGTCTTCAATTTTCAGCTTTGGGGTGGGGGCTGGGGTGAGAGGACTGCCATTATCAAGTTCCCGGCTTCTCACCTTTTGTGTTTTAAGTTCTAACAAATATAAATTACCTGGCAGTGTCATGATTGAGATGTTAAGGGGAAGAAGAGGGCATAAACAGCTTAAATGCTTTAAATTATAGAAACACAGCAAGATGAATGTTGTTTTCTCCTCAGAGCCAGTGATATGATTAGAAAATTAGAACGTTTGTTTGCTAACTGCCAACTCTTGCATGCCTTGTGCGATAAGCATTGCACCTCAGAGTGCAATGCTTAAATGTTTAAGCATTTCGCTTTTGAAGTGTAGTGAGTTAGTGTTCTACTTAGAAATGGCTCTGTTTTGCTTTGGTGGCACAGGATAGATTCTTGGTACTCTTTCAGTTGCTTACATTGCATGAAGACCAGGCCTGGGAAGGAGTTCAACATAGGCAAGTTTCCTATCACTAAGTATTTGGTAAAACTGGAAAGCTGGATCTGCTGACTATATGGTGATTCAGTAACCAATCATGTTAGAACCCAGTTTTGTGTATATAGTCACTATCACATGTGACTTTCTCCTGGCCTTAGTAAGAATGAGCCTGCCATGTAGGTCAGGGATGGGGAACATGGAGTCCTTCAGATATTGACAGACTACATAATCCATTGATCACCCGGGCTGTGATTTATGGAAGTTGAAGTCCAACAGTATCTGGACTGCCACAGAGGTTCCTTATCCCCAAGGCATCTCTTTCAGTGTCCAATCCAACTTGAAAAACTTAACAAAACAGAACTCTGTGTGATCTCAGACTAGAACAACAGATCTCTTAATGCCATTAGCTGTGTTTGTAATATATGCAACTGTGGTTATATGTTTCTATAACTGTTTTCTGTGGCGTTTTAGAAACATTCACAGAAACATCAGATGTAGATACTGAATTCAGTGTGATAGATGATATCCTCTCCCCCCACATAGGGACATTGGTGGCGCTGTGGTCTAAACCACTGAGCCTTGGGCTTGCCGATCAAAAGGTTGGCAGCTCAAATTCCTGTGACAGAGTGTGCTCCCGTTGCTCGGTCCCAGCTCCTGCCAACCGAGCAGTTCGAAAGCACACCAAAAAGTGCAAGTAGATTAATAGGTACCGCCCCGGCGGGAAGGTAAACAGCGTTTCCGTGCACTGCTCTGGTATTGAGGTTCTGTTGTGCCAGAAGCGGCTTAGTCATGCTGGCCACATGACCCAGAAAAACTGTCTGCAAAGCGGACAAATGCCGGCTCCCTCGGCCTGTAAAGTGAGATGAGCGCAGCAACCCCAGAGTCGTTCGCAACTGGACGTAACTGTCAGGGGTCCCTTTACCTTTAACCCCCATACATGAAGACAGATTTAAACAGACCTTTTGCACAGAACTGTATGGCTGGTTCATTCTACTGCCTGTTGAGCCAGCAGGTTATGTGTAGGCCTGAGTTTTCACAATTGGGTGCTAGGTCATTTGTTTGAGCTCAACCAAGTTTGGCCTAAGTGTAAATCTCTCCTTGCTCCATCCTACCCCTGCCACGCTGCCACCACTCCCAGGGGGCAAACCTCGAATGCAGTTGACTAAGATTTGGACTTGTGTGAGGATTCAGAGACAGTGAGATGAAGGAAACAAGGAGGATAAAGCAAGGAAGGGAGGAGCGAGGCACTTATTAATTTCCTGCCCCAAAGTAGGGAGAGTAAAGAGAAGCACCACGACTCATGAATGTATGGTGTTTGAGTCTGAATCTGGGTTTACTAGCTGTGGCTAAGCATGAATTCTATGATAAACCCTCTTGCATGCCATTGACAGTGAGCATAAAAATGAAAAATATAAACACATTACAGTATTTCTCCCCTGTTTTGTTCTGTAGATATTGTTTCCTGAACCTTTGAAACCTGGTTAACCCTTTCTTGGAAACTCTCGTTGCCTGGATGCAAAGCCTGAAATCAATTCATTTCACATACTTGAAGGAAGATTTGACTTAATGGCTGCACATGATGGGCCAGAAGTTGTTGTTGTTGTTTAGTCGTTTAGTCATGTCCGACTCTTTGTGACCCCATGGACCAGAGCACGCCAGGCACTCCTGTCTTCTTTAAGAGGTTAAGCACCTGCTAATGGATCATAGGTTGGATGGAAATTGAAGGCTATGAGAATCTTCACGTAGAATTGGAGGGGAAATGCTTTGACATTTTTATAAGCTTAATAGAAGTTGTGTTGTTTTGTGACATCTGTAATAGCCGCTGATTAAGATGGTGCTTTTCAAAAGTAATTCAATTCATTAGCTATGTAATTGCCTGCTTTTCTTCAGAATATATAACTGCTAAACATGCTGCATCTCTTACACTTGTTTCTCCATGTATTTTTCCATCAGCTGGAAAGTTTTGACAGTGGTGGATTTGTTTTTATATATGTATGTATGTATTTTTGCAGAACCTTCCCCACTCCATCTCCAGTGCCTATTGATTAGCAGCTGCTTGCATAAGTGCCCGGGGTTGTTTGAGAAAAGAACAAACGGTGTGCTTTAAAAAACAACATTCTTTGGTGTGAGCTTCTGCAAGTTTCCAGGGGGGCTGCTTTGCAATTTGACCACTTGGAGAGATTGCAATTAATTGCTGCTAGGCTGGGGCAGTGAGGCAAGAGGAAAGGTTGTGATGTGAAGAGTTATCGGGCATGCATGCCAGCAAGGTTACCCTGACAGCTTTAATCATTCAATTGCATTCTCTGGAGCTGGAAACGAAGGTCCTCTGAAAGGTAGAAAATGGATCTGAGAGACAAAAGACAGAGAAATGCTTCCTTAGCCTTTAATAGCAATTAATTACAGGGAAATGCATTCATAAGAGGTTTAATTTTTTATTATTTATTTATTTATTTAAGAGGAAAGGCTGTCGTCCTCAATGGTACCAGCATCTCACTGCTTGAAAAGGATTAAGTTTGGCACCTGGGTCTTCATTAACAGATCGTTCTCTGAATTTACCTTGATGTGTAAAACACAGGCTGATGTTACAGTGGCTGAAAAATGCACACCCACATTTTGAACTATAATGGAGAATTAGCCGTGCACGCTTCCTTCTATTTGGGACTGAGACTGATGACTGCGCTTTTCTTTCTTTTTTCTTTGTAAAACATGCAGAATTGCTATGCTAATTGAGGTAAATCCATCTGTGGTTTGGCTGGCTGGCCGGCTGCCTGCCTGCCTTACTGCTGCTACAGTTAGAAGAACAGCTTATCTATTTAAAAACTTAAACGTGGAGTGGCACTTCAGGGTTTGAACTGGAGATAGCTTCTCGGAAGCAGCTATTCTGACGTCTTCAGAGCTGAGTGCTCCCACTCCATCCACGTTGGAGGCTGAGCTGAGAGCATAATAAATATGGTGGCAGCAAAAGACCCCCGTCCTCATATCCAGGATTAGGGTGTTGCTTTTCACAATGAAGTTGAATTCCCCCCACCTTTTTTGAATTCTGATGTTAGTTATATTGTGCAGATGGGAGTCTTTGTTTAGATTTAAGCAATGGAATTTAGCTGCCTCAATTTTTTAAAAAAATCCAGTGCCTATATTTAGTTTTATTATTTATTAAATTTCTATACCGCCCTTCCTCCGAGGATCACAGGAAGAGGAATGTTTTTGCCTGACAACTAAATATATGTTAAAAAGATGCCAGGTGAATCTTCCCGGAGAGAGCACCCACAAGCAGGGAATGGCTACAGAAAAGGCCCAAGCTTGTGTTGGCATCCTCTGTACCTCTCATGGAGGAGGCACATGAAGAAGGGCCTCAGATGATGATTGCAGGGTCCAGGTTGGTTCACGTGGGGAATATTTGTATATATGTGTGAACCGCAAAATGATTGGTTGCTCCGCCTTGTAATCTGGACATAGGATCAACCGGTGGCATAAATAAAACTGTTACTTCTACATGATGGGGGTTGGCTTCCAGAGATGGTACTGCTTGGATATCTAATTGCTGGTGGAGCCTTTAGCAGGGGATTAGACAAATTAATAGAGTGCTAATAGGGACGTGGGTGGTGCTGTGGGTTAAACCACAGAGCCTAGGACTTGCCGATCAGAAGGTCGGCGGTTCGAATCCCCACAATGGGGTGAGCTCCTGTTGCTCGGTCCCTGCTCCTGCCAACCTAGCAGTTCGAAAGCACGTCAAAGTGCAAGTAGATAAAATAGGTACTGCTCCTGCGGGAAGGTAAATGGCGGTTGGAGGATGGATGGTGGCTAATGGATTGAAGTTGAATCCTGACAAGACAGAAGTACTGTTTTTGGGGGACAGGGGGCGGGCTGTTGTGGAGGACTCCCTGGTCCTGAATAGGGTAACGGTGCCCCTGAAGGACCAGGTGTGCAGCCTGGGAGTCATTTTGGACTCACAGCTGTCCATGGAGGCGCAGGTCAATTCTGTATCCAGGGCAGCTGTCTACCAACTCCACCTGGTACGCAGGCTGAGACCCTACCTGCCCGCGGACTGTCTCACCAGAGTGGTGCATGCTCTGGTTATCTCCCGCTTAGACTACTGCAATGCGCTCTACGTGGGGCTACCTTTGAAGGTGACTAGGAAACTACAACTAATCCAGAATGCGGCAACTAGACTGGTTACTGGGGGCGGCCGCCGACACCACATAACACCGGTCTTGAAAGACCTACATTGGCTCCCAGTACGTTTCCGAGCACAATTCAAAGTGCTGGTGTTGACCTTTAAAGCCCTAAACGGCCTCGGCCCAGTATACCTGAAGGAGCGTCTCCACCCCCATCGTTCTGCCCGGACACTGAGGTCCAGCGCCGAGGGCCTTCTGGCAGTTCCCTCATTGCAAGAAGCAAAGCTACAGGGAACCAGGCAGAGGGCCTTCTTGGTAGTGGCGCCCGCCCTGTGGAACGCCCTCCCATCAGATGTCAAAGCGATAAATAACTACCTGACATTCAGAAGACATCTTAAGGCAGCCCTGTTCAGGGAAGTTTTTAATCTGTGATATTTTAGTGTATTTTTGGTTTCTATGGAAGCCTCCCAGAGTGGCTGGGGAAACCCAGCCAGATGGGCTGGGTACAAATAATAAATTATTATTATTATTATTATTATTATTATTATTCCGTGCGCTGCTCTGGTTCGCCAGAAGCGGCTTAGTCCTGCTGGCCACATGACCTGGAAGCTGTACGCTGGCTCCCTCGGCCAATAAAGCGAGATGAGCACAGCAACCCCAGAGTTGGCCACGACTGGACCTAATGGTCAGGGGACCCTTTACCTTTACTAATGACCATTAGTCATGAGAGCAATATGGAACCACAGAATGCCAGTTGCTGAGGAGCAACACCATGGAATGATTAGTGCTTTCGGACATTGCTTGTGGGTATTCGAGAGGCATCTGGCTCTCCACTGTGGGGAACTGGATACTGGACTAGATGGTTTGATCAAGCAGTGTTCTTCTTTTGTTCTCCTGGGAAAATCTGCATGTGTGCTTGAGATTTCTCTGCTTCGAACTGTAATCAAGAACTTTCTCTATGTTGTTTGCATGTGCACATTTAAAACAGGGATGGGGAAAACTGTGGCCTTTCCTCATGTTATTGGACGCCAGATCCTCTTAGCCCCACCTAGCGTAACCTAGGATGGTGGGTGTTTTCCAAGAACATCTGGAGTACCCCACCTCTGGTTTAAAGAATAAGAAAAAAAATACCAGGTTTACTATTGCACTGTAAGCCAAATGCTAGAGCATGAGACTCTTAATCTCATGGTTGTGGGTTCGATCCCCACATTGGGCAAAAGATTCCTACGTTTTGCAGGGTTTTGGACCAGATGAATTCTACAGTTCTGTTATTCAAATTGTATATGGCTAAACCGGTTAATATGTCTCAGTAGGAACCTATTCCTGTTTAAGAATCTTTCTCTTTTGTGTGCAACAGAGACAATTTCCTGTAATTTCAGTTATCTGGGTCTTTCCGTACTCTCAGTGGCTGAAGACAGTCAAGCCAGTTCTTTCCTTTCTTTCTTTTAATCGGCAATGAAAGTTCAGAGCCTCCAGCTATGTTTCGTTTTTATTATTTTATTATATATACACACAGAGAGTTGGGAAGAAATTCTTCATTAGATACAAAGAGCGTGAATAATCTTTCTGGCATCTACTCTGAATGTTATAGTAACTGCACTGGTAAGCCAAGCAAGGCTGCAGTCCAGAGCACAGTTTTCATCTCCAAGGCTTCGCTCTCATTGCCACAGGCGGATGCCAGAGTTTGGAATCAACTGCAGATGCACATTACAAATGCTGACTTAGTATTGTTTCGTGCTTACATAAGGAAGATCTGCAAATGTCCTTCAATACTATAAAGCATTATTATATAAGCTGTGTGTCATTTTAAATTACAGTAAACCCTCCTATCTAAGAGGGTGGGGGGAGGACTAAAACAAGGTGTCCTGTTCAGTTCAGCACAGCAGCGCACTGCAAAACCCCACATCCGTTGGCATTGCAGCTAGAGGTATTCAAACAGAACTTCATAGGCCATATTGCCCCTTTGCAGTGTTGGCAGAGAGATCGACTGAGTTACGAGGCTCTGCGCAGGCAAGCAGACCACAGAAAGAGGCCTTCCAAAATCTTCCCCTCTGGGTGTTGTTAAACTCCAGCTCCCATCTGCCCCAGACTCCATGGTCAATAGCCAGGGGTGATGGGAGTTGTAGTCCCAAACATCTGGAGAACACTGGATTGTACTAAGACTTCTGATGCTACTGGCTTTATCCGCCATTCCACATGTTCTGGACCTAGCCTAAAGCCTTATATGTGTGGGCATGCACTTGTACATAATAACAGAGCAGGATAGCTCTCTGTGTTAAAACGTCTTCTGCTCCTTGAGTTGCAGCCCTGCAAGCGAACTTGGCCACTTTTTTTTTTAATGGGATGTGTGTTTCTTTGAAAGTATCCACAGAGAAGCTCTCTTGTTTCCTCTGGGTCAATAAAACTTCCTCCTTGTTGCTTTCTGCCGTAGCTTTGCTGAAATAAGATATCAGTATGGAGTCCTGCGAAATAAGTTTGTATCTATTCCATTGCCTTGTCAAGAGAGAAAATGTCTTTGAGCACCATGAGATTCACTAAGCCTCTTTAGCCAAAGGGCATCACTCATCCTCCATTAGAGCAGAGAAGTTTTTTTAGTAAGGGCAAGAGCTCTGTTGTGTCAGGCACCATCTAAAACACATTAACAGATGCAACTCGTGTCTCAAAGACCTCTGCAATCTCCCTCCCTCTCTCTCTCTCCCCTAGGTTCATTTGGGTACCAGGAAAAGCATGGGAGCGGAAGCAATGAATTTTTAACTTGCTTTCTGAGGACCATTCAGCACCCTCAGAGGAGCGGTTTTTTTCAGGCAGATGTTCTGTGTTGTTCTCTTCCCCTCCTGTCTCACTTATTGGAAAGAGTGCTAGGCAGAACACACAGAATCTGGAGCCAAATTCTTAGTAGGAAACCATCCATTGTGGAAGGTTACTCCCCTGGCTTTGGAGAGGCCAAGACACATGCTAACTTAACGGAAGGATGATGTGGCTCATTGTTCAGAGATGTACGTACTTCAGTACAGTCTTCTAAACATTGGAGGCTGGTGCCTATTGGAATTACTGGGGTGGAAGGCAGGGAGGCCAACAGTAGGTGGAGCCAGAGCCAAAGACTGGCAGAAGCCACTAATTCTAGTTTTGTCCCCATCCTCCTCCTTGGTAAGCTCTGTAATGGTAACACTGGCATTATGGAGAAGGAAGCAAGTAGACAGAGCTACTTCCTGGTCTGGTCGTAAGTAAAAAGATAGGTGAGGACCGGCTGAAGTTGGTTGAGCAGTTCCCCATTTGCTTTAATTGACCAGCCTCCACTACTTCTAAATAGATCCTGCTAGAAACCAGGTTTTATCAGCATTCATTCATTGAATTTTACATAATATTTCATACATATGTGTGTATGGAATGCTAAAGCCCCAAATTAAGAGATTATCCTAAAAATACATGTTGTGGCATACAGTTACTGTTTAGGTAGCGGGAATTGACTTTGAGAATCATGGTGGGCCAGTGAGAAAGCAAATTAGATAGGATTTGGCAGGCACAGTTTTAATCTATTATTATTATTATTATTATTATTATTATTATTATTATTATTATTTTAAGAGGGCCCTTTCCTTTGGTGATTTTATATTGTACTTGATAAGCCTTTACCTCACTCTGAACTGACTCGGTTTGACCTTCATGACTTAATTACATAGCAAAATCAGGCTGGCTATGTAATGGTGTGGTGTTATCCTGTTCAATACCCTCAACTAACTGGAATCACCCATGTCACCGATTCAGGAAGGAATTGCATCACCGTGTAGCCAATTTAGACAGGATATGCAGTGTTGCGGCATCATGACAGTCACCACACGCTCCCTGATTGGGTGGCACTGCCAATGTGACTAACCAGGGGTGGGGGGTGGGAAATAGGATTTTGTAAGTTAAAATTAAAAAGCCGCATAAACAGCAGATAAGAGGAAACAATGGCAGAGAACAATGGCAGAGTTATTTTTTTAAAATAACTTATTGACTTTATACCAATTTTAAACAGCGGTGACTTTTTGACACAGACTCCTGAACATTCTAATCCTAATAGGGATTGTGTGAATTTTTCTAGCTTCTTTCACGGAACTAGGCTCCCTAGTAAAACAAAACAGCTATGTGTCTCTGAAACATAATATATACCTTTACAGGGTTGTCCTCAGTATGTTGACCCACCGTGGGGTTTATTCTACGGTCAGTACACACAGTGGTGGTTTTTTGGTTAAAAATAAATAAATTGAGGTGCTCATATCATATGTTGATAAAAGTGCCTTTGGTGACAGTAAAATAATGGTTCCCGTGGGCAGCAAATGAAGAGGTGGCAGCACTCTGAGAGCACACATACGATGCCACCTTTAAACTATGTAAGGCTGCCTGCTGAAGATTTGAAAGGCGCATGAGTGCTATGCCACTGATTATGTAGCCCTAAAGGAATCAGTGGTTCTGCAGTATAAGTGCTTCCTACATTTGCTTATCATAGTCTTTCTCCAGCTGTTATGAAATGGTGATTGGGATGCTTTTATTTAGATACGTGTGCAAGATGAACCAGGGGCAGAGGGTGGGTGGCACTCTGATACGCCTATTCCCTTCTCCCTTTATATCTGTGGTCAGAGAAGATGCCTTTACCTTGACTGTGGGTCTAGGGTGACACCATTTCTGTAAAACTACTTTAATTTTTTAATTTTGTTGATGACTTGTAAACAGCTAACGACTCCCAGATGTGCAATCTAAACTCAGCACATATTTGAGAGGAGAAGCAACCTGTATTTAGTGCTTAGTGGACATTAATCTGCTTCGCATCCCCTAGATTTAGATTTATTCCTGTTTAGTCAGTAACCAGACTGGGCTCCAATGATCATTGGCTTGTAATATGTGAAGAATTTAGGTCAGAGGATTTTCCAGCATTATACTCTTAAGACTATCAATGTAAGTGGGATAATAATTGATGGATGGGAATGCAATCCCTGTCTGAGTGTACTGAACAGAGTTTCTGTGGCTCTTGCATGGGGCCTGCGCTCACTGCCTGACGCTAAAATCATACACAGTAAGCCTGCAACTTACACAAGGGTTACGTTCCGGAGACCACACCTCAAGCAGAAATAGCATATAGATGCATTGGTGGGTGGGATTGCCGAACTCTCTCTCTCCCCCCTCCCGCGGAATCCTACCTCCTTTAAAGTATTTTTGCCATGCACGTTCAGCTGAATGCACACAAATTAAATGCATGTAGATTGCGATCTAACTGTACACACCTAGGTGGGAGTAGGTTCCTCTGAACCCAGTGGGAACCTATTTATGGTAGACATGCATAGAATATTGCTCATATGTTCTTGTCTGGATCTTTGATGTTTAATAAACTTAGTCCATCATGTTGTTTTTATGTGTTAGAATATGAAAGTCCATTTCCAGTGATCAAGCGCTGTTGCTTATTCTGACTTGACCAGGGAGCACTAGCCAGCATTTCTCAGTTTTTGTCCCTTTTCTCATTTTTTTAAAACCATTTTTTCTTGCACAAGTGCATGTTCAAGTTGCTTATAAGAGATTCCACCTAAACTGCCTGTCAACCTCCTGTTTCAGGTTGTAATATATGAAGGGGCCTGCTGGTTTTTAAATGATTCAAAGTTAATAACTGGGAGCTTTGTCAGTTCATTTTGAGGGAGTATGTATAATACCTCTGCCTATCAGAAAGTATGTGTTTGACTGCTGATCTTGTCATTGGTTGTGTTTATGCTATTTTTAGTGAGGTGGTGTTGGGTGTGAATTTGTTGGCTGCCTTGGAATGAGATCTGAAAAATGAGTGATAGGCTCTCTACCCTTGGTCCTCAGTAACTGGAAGCGGCAAACATAAATATTTCCCGAAAACAGTTGGGGAATAACTTACTTTATATTGAGCTCTGTTATAACTGCAATTAGATGCTGTGGTACCCATTATAATATTATCTGGAGCATTATAGGGACAGATCATTCCCTCACTAACCCTGGAACATCCAAATCCCTATATCCTTGAGCCCCCAAATTTTCTCCACCAACTAACCCACCTTGGAGCTGCCAACACTCCTTTCTTGCAGCTGCTTACCTGGTTCTTGTTTGGATACTGGATTGAATGAGAGACATCTCTCTCCTGGAGTATTGTTGTCACAGCAGCCCAAAGGTTGGTAGCCCTGGGAAATATTATTTTCCCATGGCTACTGATGTTCAGAAAAAACAGGGAAGGAAGCAGTTTAGCTGAAAAGAGATTTTGCTTTGCTTTGTCATAATGCTTGCCTTTTATTTAATGCAAGCACAACAAGTCCTTGTGCTTCATATTTCAAGCCAAAAAAGTACAGACTTTGACAACATGTCTAATAAGATCAGTTTAAATTAATAAATCTTGGCTAATGGAAACAGGAGGACATAGCCTCCATGTTGACCTCATCTTTCGTTAAACCCAGTTCAACAATGGCCATGAAGGATATTCTTATGGCACTTGTTTTAACACTGTTTCCCACTACTATTTATTGTGACGTTTGCTTCCTCAGTTCATTTAATGATATACTGGGATGAAATTAAATTAGAAGTTGTGCTTGTGCTTCATGAAACAAAGAACTAACCATGTATTTCACCATCATTTCCAGAGAGCAGCACTGACCTCCGATAAAGACCTGTACCTTGACAACAGCTCCATTGAAGAAGCATCAGGAGTCTATCCAATTGACGACGATGATTATACTTCGGGTTCAGGCTCAGGTAAAGCAATGTTGCATAATGATAAATGTGTTAGGACTGGACATGGCCTTTGTCCTACAGTTCCATTGTACAGCATACACTTCACATGCAAAATGTGCCAGGTTCAGTCCCTGGCTTCTTAAGAATGAAATAAAATCAGGTAGCAAGCAATGGGAAGCAGAGTAGTCATTACTGGGCTAGAAGAGTCTGACCATGTTCTCTTCCTGGGTCTCCACAAGTTGTGTTGATACACTCAGGTCAGCTGATATGTGTGAAGCAGGCCCTTGATCAACAAGAACATGAAAAAACCTAATCTGAAAAAACCTAATCTGTACAGAAAATTCAGTACAGTGGTACCTCTGGATACGAATGGGATCCGTTCCAGAGCATCCAGAAGCAAACATAACTAGCAACGGCACGTCTGCGCACACGCGCGTCACTTTTCGCCGCTTCTGCGCATGCGCGTGGTGTCATTTTGAGCGTCTGCGCAAACGGCGAAACCCGGAAGTAACGCGCTCCGTTACTTCCGGGTTGCTGCGGAGCGCAACTCGAATGCGCTCAACCCGAAGCACATTCAACCCGAGGTATGACTGTACAGGCAGCTCCCAATTTATGCGGATGTTACGTTCCAAGGCACCGTGCATTTAAGTGAAACTGTGTATATTTGAAACACCCTTGAAAAAGCCTTCAGATACCCCGTTCCGCCCCTTTTGGTGACTTTTTGGGTCACTTCTGTATTTGGCGCAATGCACATGTGCGCAATCGCACATATATTGGATGTGTCTAAAGCCATCATTGCCTGTATGTTGACTACCTGCTGAATCTGTGATGCTGTTTATGATGAAGATTAGAATCCCCATGTTGTTATCAGTGTCTGTATCATTTAGTAGAATGACCTTGGTGACACACTGCATTTAAAGGCCACAGAGAATGTTTGGGCAACAAAGAAGTAATTGTGGCTCAGGTGACACCACGTGATAAATTTTGCCACAAGCAAGAGCATTGCATCTCATTAGCATATATCAGTTAAAGAGTATTTTTTATGGAGAGCATAATGTTTTTGATGGGCGTGGGGGCGGGGCTACCTAGAGTGGCGGAGATATTGAGTGTGTGGCAGGGAACAAACAGAGCTTTCAGTAGCTACCCTTTCCATGCTCCCACCTGGATTGTGAAATTTCATGTGCATTTCTATAGTTACACAGTAATCCTGAACTTTTCTGAAGCTTCCTGTTGGTTGAATTGTGCATTTATGTTTTCCGGAGTTGAGATACACAGTTTTAAACGCTGATATCCTGTTGGATTTATTACATATAAATAAGGGATAAGACAAAAAAATGGGATTTTGTTTTAGATTAGACCCTGAGGCATTAAAAAATGTTGCACCAGGCTGCTTGATTAATATAATTCTTTCCCCCTGCCCCAGTTGAATGTACTGAAGTAATGGAAAATTAAACTAAGAAAGCCAAATACTACCGAGCAAATCTCGATGAATTAAATCAGTTAGGTAGATAAAAGAAAATGTCACGAGTGTTTGGATTTCAGTGCAAAGTAGTTGCTACATAATCGGTCAGATAACTATCCGGTCCTTTTTACAGCCAAATAAATTACACAGTAAATGTTTAGAACCTTTTTGATTAGCCAGCTGCTGAATAAGTAAGGGCTGGTCCCCACAAACACCAGATTACATTCTCAAACTGTTCCTGGAACGGGGGGTGTCACATGCTTGAATGCTTCCCTATGAAAGCAACCCCCCCTGCAGATCAGGGACATGGGGAAATGTGGTTGGACACCAGCTTGCATCAACCCCAGCCAGTATGGTCAATGGTCAAATCTGGAGGGCCATGGGTTCCCCTTCACTGCTGTAGATAGGAAACCAGCATGTTGTGAAGAGTTCAAGTCATCTTACAACAGGGTTGTTGTAAGGACAAAATGGTTGGGGTGAGGGGAGAACTATATGCTATCCTGGAGCTCCTTGGAGGAGAAGCGCCAATATTTATTTTACATTTTACTGCGATGTTGATGGTTTTTTTAGAAAAGATTTTTTAAATAAATAAATAAATTGTAAACAGCCTTTAGGAAAGCACACAAATATCGGCAATAAACTGGAGCAGAGCAAGTATGTACAGATGCGTTTCCATTCATATTCTTCTTGTGCTTCAGGGGCTGAAGAAGAAGAAGAAGGCGATAACACGCCAATAGTGGTGCCATCAAGAACTCTTCCAAAGATGCCACCAACTAGCGATGCTCCCAGAACTGAGAAAACCACGCTGAAAATGCAGACCAAGGTACCTACGCAAACAAAGGTGTGTGCAGGGGAGGAGCCTCTTGCTGGTTTTTAAAGCTGCCGTAATAATAATTTAACCTTAAATGCCATCTGATGTATGCTTTAAGAGGATTTACTAGGTTTAGTGCAAAGCTGTGGATTAACCATAAAGACAACTCCCTTGGATATCATATCAGTCTATTAAGAGAAATGCAGAGTCTTCTGTGCTGAAACGTGTGTATCCCTCCTCTATATCTGAGAATATATTGGATGCTACTCTCTCGTAGAAGGCGCCGGTGCCCACAGTTTGGCAGGGTTCTTCCCCAGTGCTACATTTTCCTCCTTGAGCATCCTCAGGCTGGTGACCTCCCCAATGTGTTAGTGCCTACAGCTAAAATGGGAAAGCTTGGTGACAAGCGTAGAATCCCCAGCCTTGCATTTTCTGCTGTTGTGCAAAGTAGCAATAGGCTATTGCAAGGAGAAGGGGAGTGGGCAGGAGACTCTGTGTTTAAGCCTTGCTCTGCCCACTGCTTCCCCTCTTTTAACCCTTAACCCTATTCCAACCAGCTTCCCCCCCCCCTTTTTTTTTAGTGGGGAAGGGAGACAGGTGTGTAAGGAAAGCAAAGGTCGGGGTAGAGTTAAGTACTGCAAAGTTATGATTCTGAGTTGCATCGTAAGAGATACTTCCAAAGGCCTGAAACTTGCAAAAAAACCATAGTGGAGAGTTTTCAGTAACTACCAAAGAGTAGGGCAAGCTGCTGTAGTTTCCTGCATCCAGGGCACCCAATAAGCATCACCGAGCAGTTGGCTATTCCTCTTATGGACTGTGAATCCTATCAGAATGTGCTTGTTGCTTCACTTACGAATTCTGACACTCAAAAGGGTTTTACACAGGGCAGCCAAAATACAAAACATCAAAAGGAACTGATGGCCGCTAAGAGCTTTGTTGGAGGGCTATTGGCACACTGGGCTAGTTCCCTCAAATTAACAGTGGAAATGTTTTTGGGCGTAGCTTAAATTGTGGGGAATAGGCTCCTTGTTTTCAGATTATAGGAACAAGAGTATGGGACGTTGCCTCTTACCAAGTTAGATCATTGGTCCACCTAGTTACACTATGCTTTCTACACCAACCTTATTTTCCAACTTGGTGTCCTCCAGCTGGGGCTGATAGGAGTTGTAGTCTAAAACAGCTGGATCACACCAGGTTGGGGAAGACTGGGATACACTGACTGGCAATGGCTCCTCAGGTTTGAGAGAGGGGACTTTCCAACCTTACCTGGAGATGTTTGGGATTGAACCTGTGACCTTTTATATACAAAGAACATGGTCTTCCACTGAGCTACAGGCCACGTTACGTTAAGTTAAAGAATGTTTAAACTGAATTAGACTACATTCATTGCACCATGTAGCAACAAATATATTTGATTTTACTCTTATTTCATAGGGGTAAGCACATCTATATAAGCACACATTGATTTGTAGGTGTTATTTTGAGAAAGGGGTCTGAGGCTTCCAGTTAGAAATTTAGGAGACAAATTCTGCCCCGTCCCCCATCCCCCTTTAAGGTTCTCAAGAGAGTTGAGCTAAAGGTGTCAAGTGAATAGGAAATGTATATATTACAGAATTTGAATGCATAAAGGGTAATGGTTTCTGTCACTGCTGCTGCGGGTTGTTGTTTCTCCCTCTAAACTGACTCTGTGCCATCGTTTTCCCACATCTTGTGCTACAGTCACCTGAAGAGATTGATAAAAAGAAGATTCTCAAGCCTGATGCTGAAAACAAAAACGCTAAGAACGAACCAGGTGAAGACACCGACGTATTCACCCAAAAACACTCAGAAAACCTTTTCCAGAGAACAGAAGTATTGGCAGGTGGGTGCCATATGTTCATAAGCTGCAGAATAAGGAGCTTCCTGCTCTATTTTGAAGCCAAGGTATTCACTGTCTCTGCAGCTACTCACATAGCTGTTAGGAGTATTGGAGGACTGTTGCTTTGAGCACTGTTCCTCCCCACCCTGCGGTATGATGCAGTCTCCCCACTTTTTTTCTCTTTTGCAACACAGGAACGGTTTCCATTTTATTACTCTTTTCCTCTCAATACTTTGCTGCCCTTTCCTTAGCATCTCAATAATGTTTACACCAGGACATTCACCTCCTCCTCAAGGGATGAAAGAAAAAACAAATCTCTTTCACCTGAGGGGTTCATTTGCAAAGGGGATGGGGCTGCTAGAAGCTTTTGAGCTTTGCGAATTCGGATACAAACAAACCCTAACCTGCACCTCACACAGACGAATGTGAGGATCTGAACACTGCCAGCCCTCTGGATTTCACACTTCCTCAAATTTTGCAATGCGGTTTTTGGTTCAAAGCATATAGAATTGTGTTTAATGGTGGCACGTGCTTTCAGATAGTGTTCAGAAATGGGCATTTTGAGAGAACGTGGGTTGAAAATACATATTGAGCACCGTCGCTAGAACACCCCTTTATTGGCCACTGGCACACCAGCAGTGGAGGGGAAATGGCCGCAGTCTTTTCCACAAGTGGTGGATCTCCCTCCCAGAAGGTGGGCCTCTGGGCTACTCTCTCTGGGACCAGAGAGTTGCACCCATCATGCCTTGCTTGTCTAGTTTGACTCCAGGGCTGCAATTCACACATGCTAGGAAGCAAATCCTTTTGCATTTTGCAGCCAAGTAAATATATTTGGGGCTGGGCTTGTCAAGCCTTCAGGAACATTTTAGAACGTCCCTTCCAGAACCTTAACAGTTATTCGGCTATAAAATAATCTGGGTGGCTCTTAAGAACCTGCTTGGGTTATAAACACGATTTACGTGTTTAAACTAAACTGAATTAAAATGTTACAATGGCAGTGCTCCAAGGGGCCATGGTTGGCAGTGCCAGAAGCAAAAGTAGGGGGAACAACATTTTTGTTAACCCTTTGTACAGTAGAATGGTTTCTACGCACACTTGCATACTCCTCCCTATTCAGGCAAGCAAACTGCATTATTCAGGGATGCATTTCAGCCCGGCGAACCTCTCATGGAAACTGCAGAGCGGGACCAGTGAGGGTCATGGCTTGGGAAGAGGAGGTGTGGCAAGGGTAGGAAACCTCTCCACTTGGTTCCCAGGCTTGAGGCTTGCTGCTTTGAAATGCCATTTTGAAAGGTTGGGATACTCGGTAAACGATGGTGGTTGTTTTTTCTCTTGAGAGGGGACAACTTGGAGGCAATACACTGCTCCTGGTGAAACTTCTGTTCTTTTCCCTTCCATAGCTGTTATCGCCGGTGGAGTTATTGGTTTTCTCTTTGCAATCTTCCTTATCTTGCTTTTGGTATATCGCATGAGAAAGAAGGATGAAGGCAGCTACGACCTTGGAGAACGCAAACCATCCAGCGCTGCCTACCAGAAGGCACCTACTAAGGAGTTTTATGCATAAAACTCTTAACTTAAGTGTCTCTGTTTAAGAGATCACTGAACTTTTTAAATAAAGCTTTTTTTTTTTTTTGCATAGAATAATGAAGAAACCTTTTTTTTTCATTAAAGAGCCTTTATGGCACCTTTATGATAAAAAAATCCCATTGTATTTAAAACTTTTCATGTATTCCTTTTAAGAAAATGTAAAGTAAAATCTTAACATTTTGCAGTGTTCTGTGAATAACAGTGGCAAAACATTATTTTATACAGCCATTGATGTTCACTGAATCATTTAAAAACTTTATGCATAAATGAAAATGATTGTTTTTATCCTATGGTTCAATGAAAGTTGTTTAATTTTTGTCAGCATGTCTGATTGATCTTACAAGTTAGTTTTTATTTCATTAATTTATCTGTTTCCAAAAAAATAAATAAAAATAAAATGCCTTTTTGTAGTTGTCATGGTGCAATTTGTCTTCGGATAACTCAGATAATGGTAACTCTTAGTGTAAATGTATTTTTTCAGCTATGTAAACTTTAACCTCCACTTTGTATAAATTTTAGTGTCAGAAAATCCATTTTACACCTTGCTTTGTTTCTCAGTGTTCCTGTAGCTTCATTGAAACTTACAGCAGCAAATTAATGTGTAAAATTGGACTATTACTGCAAACGATGTAGTCGTACCCGTACAAAAACAAATCTTCTTTATGGGAGATTTTGCAGTAAGCTACTGACAAGCCTATACAAACCCAAAGACTCTTAACAGTATTCCAAGATGTTGCTGCAAATTTCTATGGCCACTGTTGGTTAATTTCTTGCAATTTGAAGGTACGAGTAGGAATTGAAAAAGGATCCTTTTTTTTAAATTGTTCTTTAAAAAATGCATTTAAGTTGTAAACGTCTTTTAAAGCCTTTGAAGTGCCTATGATTCTATGTAACTTGTTGCAGACTGGTGTTAATGAGTATATAACAGTAAAGAGAGAGAGAGAGAAAAAAGAAAATGTTGGTATTTTATAAGCACAGACAATTCTAATGGTAACTTTTGTAGTCTTACATGGATAGACATAAATTGTAATTTGGGAACATAAACACTACTGAATAAATCATGTGGCCTAATACTGAAATATTTCATTGTGGACTTTATTTTGTTCTCTTTCGTATAATGGCGACTTCATGCGCCATGCTACTAATTGCATCTGTTATATGATAAAAGGATATGTTGGAAACAAAGGTCCCCGAAGGTTGCTAACAAGAGTTTCATGGGAGAAATAGCTCTGTTTATAGCCTCATTAAAATGAAAATGTACCTGCAGTTGTTAATTCTTTTCACACTGGTGAAATGTTAAGTGCTAATCAATATGGACCACTTCTTTAGGGCTCAAATTCACATGAATATAAAGTTTCAGTTCTCCATGTACTTGAATGATTCCTCCCACCCATGCCTTGCCCTTGAAATAAGCAATATGGATATGTTTGTGTGCCTTGAAAAGTAACAGAATTATTCCACATCATTATCTCTGTGGTGGGGGTTGAGAATAGCTGGCCAGAACTGTATGTTCAGCAGCCACCATTTCTCCAAAGAAAAGGATGCGAGGAGAGGGAAGAAACAGCAGGTGGGAAGGGAGATGTTTGCATCCTTCCTTTGCTACAAAGGTGAGTCAGGAAACTAGATCCTCTCCTTTTGCCTTTTGGTGCTTCCCTGGAAATCTGTGCAACCACACAACTCTTTGCATGGGAGAAGTGGCCTCCAGGCGCCTGAGTCCCACTGAATGTGCTTTGGACATCATGCCAAATGTGGTGCTTCAGAGACCACACAGAAGTGCCCTGTCCTACACAGCCTGTATAAGATGGACAAGAACAAGGAGGCATGATAGGGCTTAGTAAAGGGACAGTAAGGATGAGGAACTTGTGACCCTCCAGATGCTGGGCCCCAGCTCCCAACAGTCCCCACCCATCATGGCCAATGGTCAGGACAGGTGGGAGGATGTGTCCCATCAATATCTAGAGGTCTACCCAGTCTCAATTCCAGGGGTAGGGAGAAGGTTAACCTTCAGTAGATAAAACAGAACTGCTGAAGTTAATGTGCACCAAATAATGATTTTAGTCCTGTCCATAGGCCTCAAGTATGAAAAGCTGGAATGGCGTTTGTTCTATTTAAGGTGCAAAAATTATGCTTTGCATCCTATAGCAGAGAGACTGGATGCCGCAGCAGCAAGGAGGAGCTTCAAAAACAGATTTAATAAAGAAGTGGACCACTGCAGCCTTAAAAGCCAAGCGCTTTGAGGTTCATGTGGAAGGTGGGTGACCAAGCCAACTTATAGACTAGGAGAAGATAAAGAGAAGAGGGTATGTCAAAGAGGCAAGGGGGTTTCATGAGACGCAAAGATCTGACAGAAGAGGGGAGGATGTAACCTGAATAAGGAAGTCCAGTGAAGAGAAGAGTGCAGTAATCTGGGCAAGTGAAAAAACCAAAGTACCACACACACACAAAATCCCCCTATATCTTTATAACTTGTACAATCAACGTAGGGCTTTGAGTCTCTGGATTGGCTTCTTTTGCTGGTACAGTGTGTAACATGTCATTGATGGAATAAAAGAGAAAAAGTGTTGGATTTATGCAGGACCATCCACACATTGTTCTGCTTTATTAGTTGCTCTGCAATGCTTTCCTGTTATTAACATGTTGTCTTTTGCATCTGGAGTGGAATTCTTGCTCTATAGCACAACAAAAGCAGGGTAGGGAAAAACAACCCCAGGAAATGGGTGGTCTGAAAAGTTGCAAGGTTTTGGCAGCAAGCCAAGGAACATTCCCTGGTTGGAAATGAAGTGGTATGTACAATCTCAACTTTCTGCAGTCCCAAGCAGTATTGGAAGCGTGATTGTGTATAATCATCTGGATACCGTCACAAGCGCAAATTACAATGGATGCACAACATAAAGGGTGCATGGAGGGGCATGATGTCCCTTGGAAGGGTGTGATATTAGAAACTCGTGTGGCAGGAGATTAAACTTTATTTTACTTTGCATAATGGAGTAGCTAGTCCAATAAAATCTCACCATTTGGCCTAGCAAATAACACTGCGCTTGGTTGTTTGCAAGAGACCGAGTGGCAGCTTTCCTGCTATAGAAAATTATTTAATAAGTTACTTGAAAGCTAACTGAAATACTTCGCACGCTTCTTTTGATTTGCCACAAGCTGAGCCGCTTGAAAATGGTGTTCAGCAAGTGCTCATTAATTGCACAAAATGTAGTGAAGCGAAGCTCATGAAACAACAGCTGCTGGAAATAACGGCACCAAGATGAAATTTTGGCAAAAAGCCTTTGCTGCTACCCAAATGCCAACATAAAGTCTACTATACCCAAACATAGTTATTTCATTTGCATGGTCTGATGTAAAGTCTTCTGCATAATTCCAGGTTGTTTACAGGTTGAGTAGGCCAAATATTAAATGGGGAATATTGCACAGTCAGAACTAAAACATCTAGTTATGCAATCTACCCCCACCACATTTGCAATGGGAGACGGGTGGATTGGATGAAGGGACAGCATCACTCTTCCTGTGCGGAATTCCCTCCTCCACCTGCTGAATAGGTGTGCAGAATAGCCAATGGAAACCCCCAAAATGAGGCTTTTGGGGTGTGGGTGGGGAAGAGCTAAACCAATCTGGGATCTGCTGCCCCTCTGACTGGAGCAGAACTGTGGGTGCAGAAGCGGCCCCAACAGAAAGTGGCTGGGGTGCAAGGATAAGGGTTGCGTCCTAAATATTCAACCTCCCGTTTTGAATTTTCAACTTTTTAATACTTCAAATAATGCAAAAGATATCTTTTCCCAGTATGGACTATGCTTCTAAAGGCAATTTTACTGGAATGAATTTTCCCTGTGGGTTGGATCCAGAAGTGCCTTGTGCAAGCAGAGGGGTGATTCCTCTGGGCCCCATTCCATACCATTCCAGGAGTTCCACTGACCCATCAGCAGATTTTCAGGGTCAGAGGAAGGCATGCAGTGCTTCTCTAAAGCCAACCCTACATGTTTCCTACAGGCCAAGTTTTGTTGTCATGGTGAAGAATTTTATACTCTTGATCTTCAGTCTGTTTACTAGCAGACGCTTCACAACTCTGCTGCTAAAATACATATAATTCCGGATCCGAGAACTCTGTCATTTCGGTTCAGTACTATATCTAAAATGATGCATGAGGGAAAATACTCCTTTGTGTGCCCTGTAAGTGATTCTTTGTAAGTGGGAGTGACTTTGTTAAGTGACTCAAGCCATTGTATAGATTAGGTAAAGGTAAAGGGACCCCTGACCATTAGGTCCAGTCGTGGCCGACTCTGGGGTTGCGGCGCTCATCTCGCTTTATTGGCCGAGGGAGCCGGCATACAGTTTCTGGGTCATGTGGCCAGCATGACTACGCCGCTTTTGGCGAACAAGAGCAGCGCACGGAAACACAGTTTACCTTTCCACCGGAGCGGTACCTATTTATCTACTTGCACTTTGAGGTGCTTTCGAACTGCTAGGTTGGCAGGAGCAGGGACCGAGCAACGGGAGCTCACCCCGTCGTGGGGATTCGAACTGCCGACCTTCTGATTGGGAAGTCCTAGGCTCTGTGGTTTAACCCACAGTGCCACCCGCGTCCCTTATTGTATAGATTAACTCAATAAATAAATTTAAATGGCAATAGTATGCCATAGAAAGGGCCCTACCCTGGATGAGGACTCTTGTCTATTAAATTGAGACCCACCTCGTGCTCTTTTCACATGCCCAAGGCAGCAAACAGGATGAAAACAAAGAATATTAAGATAAAAGCTCATCAATAAAAACAGTGAAAGCCATCAGCACCGCGTCACACTTTCTTGTCTCAGTGAAGACAGCAGGATGGTAAAGAAACACAGAGTGTGGGGTCTCCACTGTACCGAGCGATACAATAGTCTTGTCTGGATTCAGTTTCAGGAGATTCTCTTGGATCTTGGGCCAAGCTGTGACTTTGAATCAGAAGAAAGGACAAAACATGGTTGCCTTCTGTTCTTCCCACCCATCTTGCAGTGTAGTCATTGTTTTGTACTAGTTCCAAGTAAGCTGACTGAAGCTGAATCAAGAGACAATTAAAATGATGATGAACCCGCTGAATCTTTCAGGGAGCATGGATTAATTATTGTTCTTGCCAAAATGACAACAACTTAACTTTCCAAGTATAATTCTTGGTAGGCTTAAATTAATATTTAACCATTCTGCTCCTGTTGCTTATTACTCTCAAATTCGTTGCAGAGCTACGTAATTTAATAGAAAGTGGGTGGGCAATACAATAAAAGAACAAAGTACAGTTAAATTGAGGCAGCTTCCTGCGATGCAGAAAAACATATTGTTGGATGGTTTTTGGATAGTAACACATATTGAACACGCCCTTCAGTGGACTGCTTGGTCATTTTTACATTGTATTTTTACAAAAGGGTTCTTATTACTTTCTGTGGTAGACTCTATATTTTATTACACATGTGCTTCCAAATCAATGGCGTACTCACTTTTTGAATAATGTGGACAGTTCTGATTGTTCATTCTCAAAAAGGATATTGTAAAGCTGGGGAAAGTTGCAGGAAAAGGGGAAACAAAATGATCAGGGGGCTGGAATAATTCCTCTGTGGGGAAAAGCTATAAATAAAACCTTTGAAGGTTTTTATTTTTGCTGAGAAGATGACTAAAGCAGGGGGTTATAATAGGTTATACCATTATGCATGTTGTGAGGATTTTCTTTCTTTCTTGTCAGTCACAATACCAGATCTCAGGTCATCCAATCAAACAGATTGCAAACCAATTCAGGACAGACAAAATAAATAAATAAATAAAATTTAATAAATTGTCCAGTGGCACTTTAGAGACCAACTAAGTTTGTTCTGGGTATAAGCTTTCGTGTGCATGCACACTTCTTCAGATACCTTTTCTTCAGATACACTTTCTTCAGACAAAAGAAAGTACAGTGGTACCTCGGGTTACAGACGCTTCAGGTTACAGACTCTGCTAAGCCAGAAATAGTACCTCGGGTTAAGAACTTTGATTCAGGATGAGAACAGAAATTGCACGGTGGCAGCGGGAGGCCCCATTAGCTAAAGTGGTACCTCAGGTTAAGAACAGTTTCAGGTTAAGAACGGACCTCCAGAATGAATTAAGTTCTTAACCCAAGGTACAACTGTAATTCTTCACCAAACAACTAAGCCATGGACAGGGTTGGCCCAAAACATTTTGGCAGCTGAGGCGAACCACAAAATGGCATGGGGAGTGAAGATCTACCTCAGGAACACAGGTGGGAAGAGACCAGCAGCACCTCCTATTCGCTAGGAGGAGGTGGCAGCTCTGGCATTTGTTAGTTGCTTTATGCAGAAAGCTCTCAAAGCAACTTAGCAAGATAAACTAGATAAACTTCAATATACCTACCTGTACTACAGCGGGTGGCGCTGTGGGTTAAACCCCAGAGCCTAGGACTTGACGATCAGAAGGTCGGCGGTTCGAATCCCCACGACGGGGTGAGCTCCCGTTGCTTGGTCCCTGCTCCTGCCAACCTAGCAGTTCGAAAGCACCTCAAAGTGCAAGTAGATAAATAGGTACCGCTCTGGCGGGAAGGTAAACGGCGTTTCTGTGCGCTGCTCTGGTTCTCCAGAGGTGGCTTAGTCATGCTGGCCACATGACCCGGAAGCTGTATACCAGCTCCCTCAGCCAATAAAGCGAGATGAGCGCCGCAACCCCAGAGTCGATCACGACTGGACCTAATGGTCAAGGGTCCCTTTACTTTTTACTATAGCTTCTTAGGAGTTGGTAGCCATTTCCCCTTTTGAAACTGTACATACTTGTTAATTTGGACCATGATCTTGTCATAAATTCTTAGCAAAACACTTTCCATTGAAAATGTCAATATCTTTCTTACAGAAACTTACTTTTCAGTATAAACAGACTTTTTTTTAAAGTATCTATTTATGCATGAGTTATTAAGACCATAGGGATAGGGTTAGAAAAATACTCCTGTCAAATCGAAGTAACCAGCCCAAGAAGATGTTATCCATTCTGTTGTGTGCAAGTGAGTAGGAGTGAGAAGAGCAATCATTATCTAGACTTTTTAATGACTCAAGTTGGAAACTATTTTTCATGGGAGATCTCCTGGATCTGGTGTGAGAAATCGGCAACATTGAACAGCAAAACACCACATACATTTGGTCACAGTTTAAGGAATCAAAGTTACCATATAATTTCCATTAGCATTAAAAAGAACAGGCCAAGCTTTTCCACAAGCTTCCTTCAGCTTATAACTGTGACTCTGGAAATTGTCACTTCCATTTTTCGAGGAACCGCAGCTTGCAATGTTGTCCAAACCCTGCCTGTTGCGAAAAACATACGGTGCAAATTATATATTTATATAAAAGTCTAGTGATTAACAGATGCCTCTCTTCTCTTGGCAGATCATATCTCTCAATCCAGATGGAAACTAAGGACATCTGGATGGTGAAAGAAGGACAGTAACTTGTTAAACTATTCCCTTCAGGAACTATTTACTTACTGGTACTGGGCATGTGTTTAGCATCATCCATGCCCTAACTGTGGATGTCCTAGAGTTTCCATAACCTTTCCTTCAGTTCTTTCTTTTCTGGAGACAAGAGTGATTCAGCCTTATACTGTGTTTTAGGGAGACTGCATGTAGCTTGATCTAATGCTATTTTGTTCCTAAAGGGAATAAAATCCAGGGAATCTAGGTTGAATTGGGCAAACTTCTCTAGAATGGTAATTCACAAGGTACTGGAGTACTAGGTCAGGTAACTTTATAGTGTAGCCTGACATTAAATATCTTAATTTAAAAAATCAACAGCACTCTCTTTATATCTGCCTACTTTCAACCGTCACTTTAATATGATGCATTTTCAATAACAGAATCCCACACAGCCTTCAGGTTTTAAAACAATACAATGAACAAGGTCCCAACACCATCTCTGTAGACTGACTAATAACAATATTTCATTGTTATCTTAAAATTCGGAATGCGAAAATCTGGAGTGAAGTTTGGCCAGATAAAATCATTAAAAATCATTTTGTGTGTGTAATATGGTCCCTGGATTCATGGGCAAAAAACAGTGTGTTAGAACAGATACAGGATGGATTCAGTTCAGAAGAGGCAATTTGGTTTATCCGCTATAAAAGGTCATCCCAGTTTATTGGGAAATTGGTTAGCTGTAGCTTTCTTGTCCCAGTTGTGCAGTTGTGATATTTGCTGCTGCCAGGAAGAAAATCTGGAAATCCTTTCCTGGATTTCCTTTACTGAGTAAAGCCATTGCACAACACATCTTCTCTTCATGAGAGACTTGTTCCCACAATGAATCCTGTGACAGGATTCCCATGACGTCAGATTCCTGAAGAGTAGCCTTGTGAGCTGCAAAAATGCATAAAGTGATGCTGCACGTCAGAATTTAGCAGATTTATTGCAGCAGGAGAGTTCAGAGGTAACACGAGTAGGAGGTGGTGCACAAAACCTAAGTTTGGATTCTGTTTGCGTTTGACAGCAAGCCTGCCCAATTCAATATGCAAAATGGAACACCCTAGAAATTCATACTTCTCTTAATTTTGCAAGGTAGTTCTCTCCCTACACATGTAGTATCCATGGCTGAAGTATTTTTGACAGATGCCCACGCAACCTCTGCTCAAAAACCTCCAATGAATCTTCATCCCTGCCTTGTTCCTGATGTAGATCTTTACTTCCCCTTCTTGGCAGGGAGGGGACAACCTTACTGTGGTTTGCCTCAGATGCCAAAGTACAGTGGTGCCTCGCAAGACGAAATTAATCCGTTCCGCGAGAGTCTTCGTCTAGCGGTTTTTTCGTCTTGCGAAGCAAGCCCATTGACGGATTAGCGCTATTAGCGCTATTAGCGGTTTAGCGGCTATTAAAGGCTTAAAGGCTTAGGGGATTAGCTGCTAAAAGGCTATTAAAGGCTATTAAAGGCTTAGCAGATTAGATAAAGGGGGGGGAAAGCGAAAAAAAATCTCAAGACTCGCAAGGTATTTTCGTCTTGCGAAGCAAGCCCATAGGGGAATTCGTCCTGCGAAGCAACTTCAAAACGGAAAACCCTTTCGTCTAGCGGTTTTTCCGTCTTGCGAGGCATTCGTCTTGCGGGGCACCACTGTATTTTGGTCCGGCCATGGTTTGGTCCCCCGGATGGCGGATGCAGAGGATGGAAGCAGAGGATAGGTTATGGACTCTCCTTGCTCCAGCAAGTGACTGAGAGGACGAGGCTTTCCAGTTTTACTGTTGTTTTGAAAACAAAACGATCCAAGGGATGGAGAAATTAGGAAAGGTTACAACATTTGGGAGCTCTTGGTTTAGAAAACAAGGCAAGTAATGGGAGACATGACAAAGGTGTCTAAAGTTATACATGGTGTAGAGAAAAGAGAAAAGTTCTTCTCCTTCTCTCAAAATATTTGGGACATCGACTTGGCCACCAACCTGGATGGTTTCAAAAGAGACAAATCTAAGGAGGATAAAACCATCAGTGTCTGCTAGTTACAATGGCAATGTTTTGATCCCAGCATCAATAGTAGTAGTAGTAATAATAATAATAATAATAATAATAATAATAATAATAATAATTTATTATTCATACCCCGCCCATCTGGCTGAGTTTCCCCAGCCACTCTGGGCGGCTCCCAATCAAATGTTAAAAACAGTACAGCATTAAATATTAAAAACTTCCCTGAACGGGGCTGCTTTCAGATGTCTTTTAAAGATAGGATAGCTGCTTATTTCCTTCACATCTGAAGGGAGGGTGTTCCACAGGGTGGGCGCAACTACCGAGAAGACCCTCTGTCTGGTTCCCTGTAACCTCACTTCTCACAATGAGGGAACTGCCAGAAGGCCCTCAGCGCTGGATCTTAGTGTCCGGGCTGAACGATGGGGGTGGAGACACTCCTTCAGGTATACAGGACCGAGGCCGTTTAGGGCTTTAAAGGTCAGCACCAACACTTTGAATTGTGCTCGGAAACGTACTGGGAGCCAATGCAGATCTCTCAGGACTGGTGTTATGTGGTCCTGGCGGTCAATCCCAGTCACCAGTCTAGTTGCCGCATTCTGGATTAATTGCCATTTCCGGGTCACCTTCAAAGGTAGCCCCACGTAGAGCGCATTGCAGTAGTCCAAGCGGGAGATAACCAAAGCATGCACCATTCTGGCGAGACAGTCCGTGGGCAGGTAGGGTCTTAGCCTGCGTACCAGATGGAGCTGGTAGACAGCTGCCCTGGACACAGAATTAACCTGCGCCTCCAAGAGACTGTATGCCTCTGAATATCACTTACAGTGAATCACAGGGGGGAAGAGCGCTGTTGGGCTCATGTCCTACTTGTGGACTTCCCATAGGCATCTGATTTGCCCCTGTGAGAACAGGATGCTGGACTAAATGGATCATTGGACTGATCCACCAGGCTCTTCTAACATTCTCATTAGCATAGAGAAAGAGTAGTTGACTAATCCATGGCTGTCATTTGACCCTTACACAAAATGGATCCACAGGGCTCTTTGTATTTTTGCACTCTCCTTGGGAGTTGTGGCTATGGGGCTGTCAAGATGCGCTTCAAAATTTACCACTCTAACACTGGTCCAACTGCATTGTCTAAAAGAATGTCTAGCGCTGAATGTGTTTATCTTCTGCATTTTCAACAAAATGGTTCTTCTATCACCTTTTTCTTGGAGGAACATCACCGGCCAAAGAACTCATTAGTTGAGGCTGTTGACTGCACACTGCTCCACTACTTGCAGCACGGGCGAGTTCCCAACTGGAATTCTGAACGATGGCTTGGGCTTTCTTGACACAAATGCCTTCTCAAATGTTCATAGCATGCTACAGCTTCAATGCTCTAAAGAACCATGGAACTGTCGAGTACAAGAGAGAATAGCACAACTGTGTGGCATAGATTGTTCTTGGCAGCTGGTCTGCAGCTGTAGAATTTATTCCTGAAACCTATCACTGTGATATCTGAACATCTGGTGATTCTCCCTCATCGCTCCCTTGCCCCTAAAACCCAGCAAACATCACATCGCTTAAGCTATCTCATATGTCTTAAGTTCCTCTTGCTTCCTGCCTCTGTGGAGGTTTTCATATTTAATTGATGGAAAGTGAAATGAACAATGCAAAGAATTTGGAGGAAAAGCAGCAACTCCTGCCTCCGAATAACAGCACCCAAGACAATAGGATTTCACTGATGCAACATAAAGCCCTACCTTGTTGTTGCATTTTTTAAAAATTGCTGATACGGTAGGCAGAAGAGTCATTGCATGGAGAGATGAACGATCTCATCTGCTATCCAAGCTCACTAGAGACACTGAGATGAATCCCTGTTTTATCTGGACTTCCAGTGACTTGAAACATTCAAACTCCCTTTTATTCTTTCCAGGGCAGGTAATTTTGTACACAGGAACAAACCTGTGAAATTAAGAGCTTGCACAAAGGAATGGCGTGAGTTTCCTTAATGGAAGATTTGTTGCACCTTCCATTTGAACGTGAAGCAATGGGCAGCTCAACTGGAAAGCTAGATAAAGCTAGATAATAATAATTTAAAAAATAAAAATAGCCACTTAGTTCAGAACTCATAGAAAAACCGTTACTAGCTTAACAGGGTCTCTGTTTCCAGTTTGTAAAGCAGGAATAATATTAACCTACTTCACAGAGGCACTGACAGGACAAAGGAGTGGAAGATTATGATGTCCTAAATGCAAACAACAGACATTGAAATACAATTGCTGTCATGAACTGGCAGGACAACAGGGAGGAGGCAGAGGATCCCAGCGAGGGGTGTAGCCAGGACTGGGACACACTGGGGCAAGCAAGGGATGGGGAAGGAGAGGTTGGTATATGAAGTACTCACAGGGTGATGGAGGATGATGGGGGTCAGCACACAGAAACCAGAGCAGCAAGAACCATCACCAGAGCCAGAGGGGCCCACAAGGCGGGTTCTGAGACCTAGGGAGCAGCAGGTGGGATGCTCCAGGAAGCTGAGGCAGGCTAGGGCCCAAAGCCCAGCTCTCTAGCTGGCCAGGTGGGGGCTCACTAGCTCTGGAAGGAGGTGTGTGATTCCTCAGCTGGAGTAGGCTCAGAACAGGTGAGGGCCACATGCCTCATCAAGCCCAGGTGCTGCAATCAGCATGCAAAATATAAAAGGGAAGCAGAGCTGAGGTGCTGTGTCTGCTCAACTGCCCATGTTGGTGGAGCTCAGCTTGGATGCTCCTGGACCTCCACAGGACTGTACTTTGGGTTTGATTCTGGACTGTATCCTGACTGCTGGACTTCGGACTTGAATTTACCCTGAACCTTTGGACTTTGGACTTCACTTGTGTGGACTGACCTCAAATTTTGGACTTGGCATCCTGACTTACTGCCAGGTAGGCCAGGGGTTCAGGAAAATTGTGCTCTAAGAAATGTGAATCACCAAAGCTGCTCTTCTCTGGCATACTGTTATGGCCTGTGGCTCTTCTGGATGTGGTTGAACTCCAATTCCCATCAGCCCCAGCCAACATGGCCAAAGATCAGGGGTGATTAGAGTTGTAGTCCAACAACTTCTAGGTGACACTTATACTACTTTATCAACTGCCATTCCCCTTAAAAGAATCCTGGTGACTACAGTTTCCATGATTCTTTGGGGGAAGCCATGGCTGCTAAAGTGGTGTAAGAGTGCTTACACCTGCTTTAGTGACTAGGAGCTGCACCACTTTTCAGAAACTGAAGTGCAATGTCAGCACATTTTCTTAATACTTCCCATTTTCCTACACTGAAACTGCAAAGGTTGAGTCACTGAATCAGAGGGAACCTTAATCTGAATGGTTCACTGAATTTATTATGGTGCTGACTGTATCGCAATACACCTGCTGGTGTATGAAAAACACACAAGAGACCAACATCTGGGGAGGAAAACGGGTGAGTGTGTCTTAATGTCACTGACAGACATACCAAGGAAGTCTTCTGGTAATTTCATTAAGTTTTTCAGGATAAATACATATCAGTTAAA